AAAAGGTCAACCTTCGTTAGATCAAATTTTAAAGTGTTTAAAGTGGTCCCAGGCCATGCCTAATACCTTATGGTTTTCATTAGATGACATTCAATTTAAGACTGTCTAGGCATAGGTCAAATCACATTGATTGTTTTCATCAGATACCTTCTGTGTGTCCTCTTCCTTATTGATCAAATTAGCTAAATCTGGGTCACTGGTTTTGAACTTTCTAAGATTAAATCCACCTTGAAGCATTCTTTACTTAACCTTGTGGTACAAATTTAGTGCTTCTGTGACATCTTCTGCTCCAGATGCCCAGTCATCAACATAGAATTCTCTACTTACCTTGTTGACAAATTCTGGATAGTTTCTGTTAGTTTTCTAACATATTCTGTAACATTTTTGTTATTCTTCGATTATCCCCATACAATCAACTGAAAAGCTGGATCGTAACAGCTCTGGTACAGAAACAGTTAGCCCCCTCATCCGAAGCATGATAAGCGCATTAAATTCCGCAGCGAAATTGGAAAATTTTAGCATGTTACACGATCACTTTTCAGCATGTTGGTCCAATATCGAAAAAAGTGATGGTAAAAAGTGATTGTGTAACCCGGCCTTTACAGTTTTTAAAATTCTGTTGTCTTTATTCTGTTTATAGCCCTCTCTATATGTATCCTCAAGTTTGCAATCTCCTTTGTTCTACGGCATTCTGATGCTGTCATTTGGTCTTAGAGGCGAGCACCAGGAGGCACACTAAGTGAACAGGAATAATGCAGGGGATCTTCTTTAATATGAAATCAGGATGTTGTTGCTGCTGTTTCAAAAGGAAAGTTCCTTACAGCCAAACATGCTTCTGTTGGTCTGGGTCCTCATAGTTTAACAGAGCAGAAGTTTCCGCCAATGATCCTCGCAAGGTTGGGACACTCGATCACATATTATCAAGTTAATCAGATAGAGACAGCTCAAGCTGAAATTGTAGAGCATTTCAAATCATTAAGCCTTAGTCTTCCATTACAACCATCCTCTGCTGGTAGCAAGGTGAGAATCATTAGTTTTTGTTGTTACAGGAAAAGAGTAATGCAGGCAGTCCTTTACAAGAAGTGATTTCCTTAAAGCATCTATTTTCCACTCATATCTCTAAATTTAATGGATATAATGTAAAACTGTTTGGTGGTGTGCTATGCGATTTTGCAATAACTAAAAATCTAAGAAACAGTCTAATAATCTGCATTTCCAGTATCAACAAATCAGCGATATGATTTATTCAAGAAGGGCTAGCCATGCTCCAAATTTGCATTAGCTTTAATTGGAATGATATCCCGTCTTTCTTCTTTCAGGTACCCACAATATTCTTGTGAGAAAATTTTAATAGAAACGTGGAAAATGCTCCGGGAGCTTGCACAGTTGCTGAGAATTTGACATAAAACAGTGTTTTTGCAACATTTGTCTTGTTTAACATACAATAATAGTTCTCCACGCTGTGCATGGCTTGGTTTTAGCTTCAATATCCTCGGGGTGGAGGAGTAACACATTTAAGAGAGCAGCATTGTCACTTCAGCAGTCTATCTGTTTTTTATCTTTCCCTGGTTGATCAATATCTTCAACAATCGTCGAGGAAAGATATTCGTCTTCATTTTCTTTATTGAAAATTGGCTTATCTATGTCTACTGATTTTAGCATTTCATCGAGATCTTCCTCATCGTCGGGTATAACATAGCACTTAATTGCTGAGTCTATAAAGGGAATAAGAAAATAACTGTAGTACTAAGTTTCAGTACATGGCTGATTATTTTCAAATTTGTGAAATTTGAAAAATCTCTTGCTGAATGAAGATATTTTGGGATTTTTCAGTAGATTTCGGGAAAACCTGAAACAACGGCATAAAATACCTATCAACATGCAAAAAGAGTTAGATATTTTCAAATTGGGCAAAGCTCTAAAAAGATAAGTTCTAAAAATATATTTATGTGATGTCTTCACTTTGGTAACAAGAGGTCAAAGAAACAAAGCCCTAAAATAGTTTTGAGATTTCAGCAATTACTAAGAAATTAAAGAGATTTTTTTGGTTATTTCTGAAAGGTGTTCGAGATTTTTCACAGTGATTCATCCCTCACAAGAATAAAAGTGCCTAGAATTTCAAAGCGACAAAATTTGATCAATGAAAGGTTTTTTATACCGTAAGGTTTTCTTAAAGGAGACCTGCAAAGTCAAGTAAACTTATACTTTTAGTCAAAGCTTATGACCTGAACAAGATGAAAATGATAATTATTTTTTTGAGAAATTAATTTTTCTTTGCTTTTGACTCTCTAAATGTTTGATTATAACCTCGTGGGAGAAATCTTCCCCGCCCACGCTTATGACGTCAGAGGTGAACATTGAGATTTCAATCGGAGTCAGCAAGACCAGTCAAACGGTCATTTTCGTCCTAAAGATGGTCAGCTTATAACTGTTTCAACAACAGCAGTAATAGAATCAGAAACAAACCCCAAAAGAAAATTACATCTCAAAAGTTTCCGAAAGACTTGAAATTAAGAAAAAAATGGATTGAAAACATGCGTTTAGCAAATTTAAATCTGAAACCGCACTCGCGTCTTTGTCAAGAACATTTTTCCAACAACAGTTATCAGCGAAGTCCAGATCTCCTGAGGTCCTTGGTTTGGAAAATAAACGTTTATTATTAAAAGATGATGCAGTGCCTACTATATTCGACAGAAGATCCCAAAAAGGAAAAAAACAGGTGAAGGGTAGGACACCTTTTAAAGCTAGGCCATCGCTGAGTCCAAGAAAATTGATTACCGGAAGCCCAAAGAAAAAACGAAGAGAAGCGTATGAAGAGAAGTGAAGAGAAGTATTTGTTTAATCTTCTTTACATAATTTAGCGCCTGTATTACATAACAAGTGTAATTTATTTGCCATTTACAAAGAGACCCATTAGCAGCCAGGAAACATTAACAATACGAAGATTAACAAAAAGAGATTTTTTAACATTAACAAGGGGATGCGTCCCCTTTAGCTTACTAGTTAAGCATCTCTGTTTACCATATACGTATACTGCATCAGAAATGATTTTGTTTCAAATTCAATATTTCTTAATACTTAAGGTTATAGAAAATCTACTCCAAAAATACAGAAACCCCCAAACAGCTGCCATCGCAAGCACAGTGTCGGAACCAACCGAAAATGTAAAGCTCAACCAAAACAATAGTGATAATGACTAAAACAACTTGCTTCAAACGATTTTAAATTCTGAAACAAGCTATCAAGGTGAAGATACCGGGGAAAGAAAAAAAACTAAAAAAACGTTGACTAAATCAAGATGTGAGTAATAATGGTATGCTTAAGATTCAAACTTCTTTTGTTATAAGATCTTAATGAATTTATACTTTTATGATTATAATTTGGGGGTAAGGTCTCATGAATTGCATCAAAGCTCTGGGACAGCGTATCAAAATTAAGGAAATTGTCTGGGACAGGGCATTCACAGCAAAATTTGAATTATTTCAATAATCTGCTCCCACAAACAGTGTGTCTTTGTATATTTTAGCATTTTTGTGCCATATTTTTGCACTTTTTTATAAAAACGGGGTATGTATTTGGAATACTTTTAGTATGACAGGGTCAGGTTGCAAATTTTTTCTGCACACCCCATCACTTTCTAATCAAGGGACCCCCCTATGGTGGTTGGGATAAATAAAAACTTTTAAGTTTTTGTAAGAAGTCCCTTAAATAATTGATGGTAATTAACCTTTTTTCAAGTCTCGATTTGTGGGGACAACAAACAAACACAATGTTGCATGCAGAAAGTTGAAATAGTTGGCCAGGAAACACAATATGAGCCCCCTTTTAATGTTGATTTAGCTATTGCTGATTCGCCTAAAAGTCCAAACAACCAGGACCATTATTCAACATCAGAAAAAGAAGACCCAGAATGGTTGCCAGAGAATGATGAGGAATCAGATTATGAGTATGAAGACCCATATAAGCAAAATCCCCAGTCATACCACCAGGAAAGAAAGTTTATTGTTTTTGAATCGTCGCTTCAGCAACTTCTCATCAGATGCAAAATTTGCTCTGCACCAACAACGATTGAGAAGAAAACAACTTGTGGTACAATGTAAATTTTTAAATAGATGTGTTTAGAGGGTCACTCAAATGAATGGAGGAGTCAACCTGAGCATTGTTAAGAACTCATTAGTTTCTATTATGATCACCGCTATATACTAATCGCTAATCATGCTGTTTACTATTCTAGATTTTCACACACGTGACCCTGTGCATGACAACGGTTACTATCCACCATTTTGGTGCACAACCACAGATCGATCGGTAGGCACAACAAAGGACAACATCGCTTTTCAACCATGGTTTTATGTTTAATGGTAAATTGTCACTCAAGAAGTGTTCGTGATAACTTAATTTCTTTCTATCGTGTACCTGCTGTAATTACAAATCAAGGAGAATCAACTGAGGAGTTGTCGATTGAGCGTCGAAGAAGGTGGTTGTCCGCTATTAGCAGAGCCAACTTGAGCGAAAACCTTATCAAAAGTGGAAGAGTTTGTAGCCGGCGCTTTGTCCAAGGAAAACCGGCAGCCTCTTGGGATAAGTGGAACGTTGAGTGGGTACCTACAGTAGAACTAGGCCACTCAAAGAAAGTAGCAAGCAATACCAATGACCCAGAACTTCAGGTGGCATGAAGCGAACGGGCTAAAGAACGTCGCAAAAGACAACATGAGAGGGAGTTAACGGAGAGAGCTACTAAATTGGTAAAACTTAACGAGGATGGGGGCATAATAGAGAAAATTTCATTAGATTCCACTTCAACTTCAATAAACAACGAAGACTTCAGCGAATATGGCGACGATGACTTTTTGTGTGAAGTCACTTCAAAACTTGTTGGTCTAAACATTGCTGAGTGTAGTACCCAGACACTCCAAACTAAAACTCGTGATTCCACAACACAAACTGAGGAATTTGACTATATGTTTAAAACACCAAAACCTTTTTTTGATCGTGAAGACATGCTGGAAGACGAGAAGGTCTTATTTTACACGGGGTTGCCAACTTTGAAGCTTCTAGATGCTGTCTATGAACATGTTGCCCCACATGTCACAAGAAGATCTCTTACACTGACAAAATATCAGGGACTCGTTTTGGCCTTGATTAAACTAAGACTTAATGTGCCATATCAAGACCTGGCCTACCGATTTGATGTATCTGGATCTTGGATCACAGTCATGGAAGTTAGACTTCAACCACTTATCTACTGGCCAGAAAGAGAAGAATTGTGGCATACAATGCCTCAAAGCTTTCAGTACTCTTTTGGGAACAAGACCACTGTCATAATAGATTGTTTTGAGATATTCATAGAAAAGCCCACTAACCTCTTAGCAAGAGCACAAACCTTTAGCTCTTACAAGCACCACAATACGGTGAAAGTCTTGATTGGTATTACTCCTCAAGGGAGCATTTCTTTTGTTTCAAAGGCATGGGGAGGACGTACCTCAGACAAGTTTTTGACTGAAAATTGTGGTCTTTCAAACAAACTCATGCCAGGAGATCTTGTTATGGCTGATCGCGGCTTCACAATACATGAAAGCATTGCCTTCAAAGGGGCTAAACTTGTCATGCCTGCCTTTACTAAAGGCAAGAGTCAGTTAGATCCAATAGATGTAGAGAGCACCAGAGGAATTGCAAACGTTAGGATCCATGTGGAGCGTGTTATTGGGTTACTAAGGAACAAGAGCATTCATCTCTGCACCAGAAGGAAACGGTACTTCAGGCACTGACCGTGGCACAGGCCTTACTGTTGGAGAGAAATCTGACATGGATATATCATCAATTTTTTCGTCTAACTCGGCTTTTAATTTTCTGGCGGACTTGAAATTGATATCTTTAACCAAGTACATTTACATATGTTGGAAGTAGCCAAGTACATTTAACTTGGGTACACGCTAACTTTCCGTTAATGCGATTCCACGCTTCGATATAAAATAATACGCTTCCAATATGTGAACAACATTCAGCTTTGCCGGCTTTGCAGCCTAAGCAATGAGCAGAAAGGATAGTACCTTCCCCATTTGCAATAATCCCTATCGCAACCAGTGGATCGTTCATACGTTGTGAATGTCAAACTTTTCCTACAACCACGTAGTTACTTCCAATCATTCTCCCTTGCACATTCGTTATAAACCCGGAAACCATGTAGTTGTAGCTTTCTAGACTTTTGTAGGCTTTAAACTGCTCCAAATTATAAAAACTTGTTTCCAAAACAAGATAGGAAAGAAGATCAGTTGCTTCAATCGGTGGAAGACATTCTGGATCCAGCTTCTCACCTACCAATGAGGCAGGGTCAACTCCAATAACAGCGATTTTTTGCAAATATCTGGTATAAACGTGACCTTCAAGTTTCTTTGCGTAATCACAAAGTACAGGTAGATGTTTATCATCGATATCCTCCTTGGTTTGACTATCTTCGCTCATTTTATCGCTCATTTTATCGAGTGACATGGCGAAAGTTTAGTCAAAACACGGTTGAACACGTGATATTCGCGAACACGTGATGGCGGACAGCAAATTCGTGACGTCACGCCAAAGAAAAGAATTGTTTTGTTATATTACGCTAATCACGCTGTTCTCTTTTCTGGTTCTCAACCAGCTAATTGCTCCATTTCTGAACGCCTTTATTCCTTGATTCAGCATGCATACCTCCTTCCAAGTGTGTTTAAACTTTGGGATCAACAGAAAAAATTATTGCTAGAAAGTGTTAAAAACAAAGTTCTTACCCTTGGTGGGAATGGTCGCTGTGACACACCTGGTCATTGTGCTAAATATGGGTCATACACCATAATGGACTTGGACATTGGAGCAAGTATTGTAACATCAAAATGATTTCTCCTGGTAGCTACATATTAACTGCATCAGAAGTTCTCCTAGAATATAATTGGTTAAAACAAGTTTTTAAAACATATTCTAGTAGCATAACACATCTTAGCACCAGAACTGACAAAATTGGTCTTTGTAGAATTGGTAAGTGTGAGGAACTGTAAAAATAATTGTTTTTTTAAATAAATTCAGATATTTCCAGACAAGTGTATATTGCATAACATTTTTCAATTTAAAAATACAGATACAAATTTGGTTGATACTCTTTGTACTCCAATCTCTTCAAATTTTCAATCAAATACAAATACATACTCGCTTGTTGGATGATCATCAATGAACTGCTCATCTTCAATATACTGATATATAGCAGTCACAACAACATCGGGATTTAAGCAAACTGGAGTGAAGCCATCAACTTGGGTTATACACCCACAGTTAGCTTCATTGGCTTTCTGCAGAGTTAAAGCTACCTCTCTGCAACAGAGGCATTCCACGCTTTTTGGCATCGAAACGCAATGACCACAATCACACCTTAGAAGTCAAGTGCAGGAAAAAGATGAATCTTGCGAGAAATAATTTACCGTATTGGATATTGGAGCATGGAAACCTCCTAAAAGAAATATAGCTATTTGCGTATCTATATTTTCAATAAGTGACCCTAACCACCAAATCCCTTATTAGTCAACCTTACGTTTTCTTTTAGGCCTATTTTGTTTAGGCCTATCACTCATGTCAATATATCATAACAACATTATAATAAAATAATCATATTAATTTGTCCTTTACGTAATTTAAATGATCTGTTTAACAACTATCTGATTAAACAACGTTAAATATTCAAATTGGCAAATATGATCATCATCCCAGACATACCAATCAGTATTGCTGATTCTTTCGATGTTCAAATCCTCCTCATCGTCATCATTACTGCTGCTCTTGTCTTCACTGACTCTCCTCTCCCTCGGCAATGGTTCGTACAGATATGGTCGAATCACCATTTTGTCTGTATTTACCATTCCATACTCGCTGTCCTCCTCACTGCTTGTCATTTTTGTGCGATAATAATTTCTGAACAATCTTTCTGGATCGATGAAGCGCCGGAAAAGTGCATTCCAATCAAAGTTCACCTCTGACGTAAAAGCTATATGCGAGACTCTCGCGGGCATGCCCGTCCATCGATAATAATAACTCGGAAACTACTAAATTTGTTGCTATTTTAACTGGAAATTCGAAATCAGCGTATTCATTTTGTATCTTCTAACATAAATTATTTTAGGGTTGCAGGTCTCCTTTAATCTGCCTTTAACTTTTCACTCAATCACGTTGAATTTGTAAACCAAAGCGTTAAGGTTAATTTAGAATAGTTGATGAGTAGTGTGTATTTGCTGTGTTTTTCGTTTTCAAAAATACTTCTGTCTATAAGAAGGGGAAAATTTGTCGAAATAGAGGAGATCTGAAGCAAACTGTTAAGTTGTAACGGTCAAAGAAAAAGCAAGTTGTATGTGCTCCTGAACAATGTTATATCTGGGGGATTCCAAAGGGCATTAGAACTCTACAAAGCCAATGAGACACTTAGAATTGAATAATAGCATTATGAAAATGTTCCTCGATCGAAAGGAAAGCCAAATTCCATTAGGGAGTACACCATTTTGAAGAAGATTTTTAAGAAGCTAAGAATGAGTTAAATCCTTGTACCATAGTAAAATTAATTATATACCCATTGGAACTGATGCAAGAAGGAAGAGTAACAAAACCTACCAGAGCCATCAGCAGCCATGGTTTACTCTTTTGCTTTACTCTTGTTTCATTGAACCATAGAAAATTGTAGAGTATTAAAAGAAGAATATAATAAATCAGTTTTTCATCACTGAGTAAAGTTGCGACAGTATCGATGACCATGCTCTCGCTTAGGCCATGCTTTGAGGCAACAGGTTTTGCGATGCTAATCCTGTTTGGCTTTCTTCCTTGCCTTTGTAAGATTGCTATCGTTTCAATTATGAACTTAGCTGTTTGGTTGTTATCCATAGCAAATTTAGCGGGTGGTTCCACCCTTCCTATTACCAGTGAATGAAAATTTTTTTCTTTTCACGACTTAGAACTGTCCTCAATATATTTCCTAGCGTAGTTTTTTTGTCTAAGTTTTGAGGTTTTAATGTTTTACATGTTAGTTAAAATCATTACATCTTAATTGAATCAAAATTTTCCGAATGTTTCTTTATTTTTTTGCATAACATGAGAGATTTTTTCAAATGCAAAAGCTCTATTTTTTTGAAAAATGAAACATTGAACCTGATAACTTAAAAGGATCATATTTCCTAAGAAAGCCAAGGTCTCAAATTTGTTCACATTTTAAATTTTTTTAAAACTAGCTTATTTGCATAAACAGATGTTATAAAATCATATATCTAACTTCTTGTATTGTTACGCAGAACACTTAAACAACTTTCTTTGCAAAAAATACAGTAAATTTCAAAGCTGAATTTTATGTCTAGTTCATGAACTTTCACTGTTTTTCTACTTTGAATTTATGAGTAAATTTGAGCTTTTTACCTCTGTCTGTGTTTTATTTGAGTCTTGTAATTTGGACATAATATATAAAATGTATTGATCTGAAAGCATTTTGAGTGTAATGTAAATATCCCTTCATGCAGAATCAGATCTGATGGGAACTGTCTGTACACTGCAACATCTGTGGCTTTGATTGGCAATGAAAAGCTAGCCTATATTTTCAGGGCTTTGACTTCTGCTGAGTTATACTTGCACTGCAATTTCTATACATCAAATCACTATTTTTCTTCCTTTTTGGCACAAGGACAGAAAAGCAGTATTTTAAAAACCACTGTTACTTAAAATAGAAACTAATAATAAAAGTAGTTTCATTTAAACCGTTCTTTTCAAGTGTTCATGCTTTTTCACTGCCTGGGTCATCTGACCTTTGATCTTATGTGAGTGCAAAGCTGTTACTGCTGAAAAATGCTGCCAAAGAAAAGAGGATTTCGATTTGCACATGGAACTGGCAAAATTTCGATTCAATCTTTCTTCAGTCTCACTGTGTCATGTGTCAAAGTTTTTGTGCCATTTCTGACCACTTGCAGCATGATAGAAACACTGTACACTGTTTTATGTATCACATGTTGCAAGACTTAAAGATAAAGATGCCTAATCTAAAGCGGGGATTTATTTCAGTGACGGTGCTGGGTCACAGAACAAAAACTATAAGAATTTAGCAAACATTGGCCACCATGAACAAGACCATGGCGTACCAGCGGAATGGCACTTCTTTGCAACCTCACATGGAAAAAGTCCATGTGATGGAGTTGGCGGAACTGTGAAGTGCCTTGTAGCACAGGCAAGTTTACATATGACAAAAGGGGCTATTGATACTCCTGAGAAATGCATCAATGGTGTGAAGACAACATTAATGGCATCAAGCTCTTTTTCGTGAAAAGAAATGCAATCTCATTGCTCTTCACTTCAATTGGAGGCACCATATGCCAACTGTGCAACGATACCTGGAACCCGAAATCATCACAGTTTTGTACCACAATCACTTACCAGTTTGAAAATGAAAAGAGTTTCATTTGATGAGCTCTTTTCAAATGTTTCTGTTTCATCACTGCATGTATCACCAATCTCTCAGTCTTTATACCAGGAATATATATTGCCTGTGTTTATGACGACAACTGGTTTTTAGGAAACATTTTGGAGATTTCCGAAAAAAGTAAGGCCATCCAGGTCAAATTCATGAATCGATCTGTCTTCTCTGACGCTTTCACTTCGCCGCAGGAGGAGGACATCTCCTGGGTTCCAGTAACGCATATTCTGTGCAAAGTAATTTTACTGAAAGTGAAATCTGCTGCAGGTAGATGCTACCAGATATCAAGCACAGAGCAAAGAGAGATGTCGAACCTGTTGTTGTAATGGTAACAATATGACAAATGACACCCAAAGTGGGGCAAAGGTATTTGGAGAAAATTATCAAATTATTTTGGACAATGAAATATGGCTACCTCCAGTGGAGGAAATGAAAAAAGTAGCAAAGACACCGAAATGTCCAACGATGGCAAAGGAACGAGAAGAATCCATGCTGGAAATTGAGCTGTTGTTAGGAAATTTATTCGAAAAGCAAAATAAATCATTGGAAGTGGCGACAACGGTATGCCATCAGATGAAATGAAGACGAAATTGCAGTCGATTTCAAAGCAGGAATCGAAAAGTTAGTCAGCCTGTCCACTCCACGCTGCCAGCAGCATCACCCATTAGGCACGTTTTCAACCCCAGCTCGACACCCTTTCGCCCAACTGCCAAACTTGACAACAGGGCACAGTCGAATCAAAACAACAGAACGCGTTTGCCTAACTTTCATTGGTAAAGTTCAACGGTTTCTGGCAAAGTTTTAATGTTGCAGTACACGAAAACAACAATTTGTCTGGGATTCATAAATTGAACTACTTGATAAACTCACTGGAAGGCCCGGCATAAAGAGCATTGGAAGGACTCAAAATACAGGAAGAAAATGAAAGCTGAAAACCTCAAATTACAATACTATTAGATGAAAATCAGACTTCCTATTGAAGAGATGGTTTCAGATTTTGTAAAAAAGCTGATCGAAAAACAAGCTGAAACAAGTGCTAAAGCTGAAGAGAACACAAAAGGACCACAAGAAAAACAAAACAAAAACCACCGCGCTTTAAAACTAGCTGCTGGGAAACAGGAGATAAAATTCTCTTTTGGACAGAAGGCTCTCCTGTTCAATGCCAGAAAATCAATGCGTAAAGGGGACAAACTTGCACAAAATTGGTCAGGGCCCTACACAATAACAGAGATGGTAGGAAAAAAGCATGCATACCTTGATGGAAAGAAAATTAAAAGAAATATCAAACACCTGAAGCCTTGGTACTTTTACGAAGTTAAGTCGGACGAGGGAATGGAAAAACCAGGAGATGAGCGAAAGAAAGAAGTCTTCACTGACATGACCGTATATTCCAGGGAGGAGATTGCTCAATTGCCAGTGCCAGAGCGCTCAGTATATGATGCAAAATATTTCCCCACTCCTAAAAAATAAAAAACTGGAGCTGATTTGGAAAAGATTGAGCTGAGAATCATGGAAGGAGGACTACAAGCTGAAACTACTGTTGTTGACAGTATCGGTAGCAGCAACAATGATACTAGTGGCGAAGAAGTATGGTCATCCTGCAGCTAGAAGGATTTATTGAAGACAGTCGCAAAAGAGAAATATGACGTTCATCGAGATAGCAGCAAAACAACTTCAAATGCATTTTCACCAGATCAAATAAATGGGGGTGAATTTGCTGCTGACTTGCAACAAAGTCAAGCCAAGGAAGTTTATGAGGTCAGGGAGTCATCTGCGTTTGTAACAATAAGCAACCATGTTGTTATACTTGAAGACAAAATGGATAATGCCATCCCTTCATCTCTACCTTTCAAGCCAATTCCATCCGTTCAAGACAGTAAGTACATTTGAAACATCTTAGTTTATCTTTATTCACGGGTTGTTTGTCCAACTTTTTGGAATTTTTCTTGTATGTAAAAAGCACACATAGGCTAGATTAAGCCCCAACCAAACGCATCCAACTTTTCATCCATTTTCTTCGAATAGTTTTGCAAGTTCGCTGATAATTTTTAAGCAGGTGGTCAAACGCATCCAACATTTCATCCAACATTTCTATCACGGTGCATCGCTTGCGCAGCGACCTGTTTACAGCACTGGCTTACAGATGGTGAAAAGGCGCATAAAATGAAAGAGAATAATAATAGCTGATTTCCAAAACAACATGTTAAAACATAGGCTGCCCTTTTTCTTGAAAGTTTCGTTTGATGGACCCCTGCATTTTACAGCACTCGATTCCCCTTAGGCTTGTGCCTAAATCTAGATTGCCATTGCTTCTCTCACTCTCCATGTCAGTGTGCTTTAATCCACCACCCTTTTCTCAGCTATGAATTTTTAGATTATTTAATGTTCTAAATTAATGTTCTTTGCTTTTACCTTCCACATTTCATTCAATAACTTTGAGAATAGTTGCTCACAAATCCATAAATTGACTTGGCGCTCAAATGAAAACAAACAAGTTGAAATTATGTACATGCCCAGAAAATGAATTGTTGGGTGAATAGTTAGATGGAGAGGTCAAACGCATCCAACATTACATCCAACATCAGTTTGCAGACGTTGGGTGACCCAACATGGGTGGTCAAACACATCCAACATTTCGTCCAACATTGGTTTTCTGCATGTTGGATGAAATGTTGAATGCAGTTGACCAGGGCTTTAGCTACTACAAAACTGCAAAAATCTCCACTAGGTGAAGCTCAGTAATGCGTTAAGGAAATATAGATGTTAGTGCCATTCTGTGATACGTCATCCATAACGTATACGCCAACCTTATTAGATTTCTTAAAGAATGCTATATAAGTTTTCATATTATATTGCTGGGAAAGATGTTGCTTTCATATTGATATTTTTAGTTGTGGATTCTCTTTGGGAAACAGGAGCTGTTGGATATTACGAGTTGGTCATAAACGGAGTGCTGATATCGGACAAAAGGATAATGGAACTGAAAGGGGAAACGTACCTGTCTGATGAGGTAAACACGTACAATCTACTATAGCTACAATTTCATTATTTGCAAAACTTTGACAAATACTCTTTTTTTAGAAATCCTCTAAGAATAAATGTTACTCAAATTTTAAAAGGCTAATTCGTAAATAACACTCTTTGTTTATATTTCCACAGGTTATAGATGCATACTTGGCTATTCTTTCAAGAGTATAGTAAAAGAAATGTAGGTTTTTGCCTATTTATTTTTGGCATGAGTTATACTTTGATCTCCGTAGATCGAGATATGTAGAAGAGCTTTGTGTGCACCAACTTCTAGAACTCATCTGCAATTCAGACAAGCCAGCATGATTTTGTTTATAAACATGTCTCATGTAGACGCTGTTTACAAAAGACATGCTAAGGTAGTCAATATGATAAATACAGTCATGCATTTTCCATATTGTTTTGTAAAACAGGGTGGCGAATAAGGTTACATACTTTTTACAAACAGAAAAAGATTCTTGTAATTGGATCAGCCATCATGTCAGGGATCTGCAACGGCTTGTGCTACAAACAAAAACTGACCAAGGTTTGTGCTACTTATCCAGAATTGTTATTAAATGTCTGATAAATAAATTCTGTACAGAAATTAACAAAGTAGCTAAATTTCAGGGAGTGGAGCAAAGCCACTTTAATCTTGAATCGTCATGAACTAGAATTTGCATTAAACAAAGCATTTATTATCAAATTGTTTGTTTGTACGCATTTGCTCGCATTTTTGTAAGAAAAAAGGTTGTCTTCTATTAAAATACTTCTTGCTATTATTATTGTTGTTGCTTTGCTGTTACTTCAAGTTGGATACATACTGAAGTTTAGCTCATGACCTTGAGCAATTTTTATTATTACTACTATTATTATGTCTACAATCATAATCATAACAATCATAATCATAGTCTCTAGCTGCAAACATTATCTTTACCAGGGAAGGTATAAATAGGGACATGATTGTGTACTTCTTTTTTTGGCTCAAACCCTTTCAACATGAGGAATAGTTTTAGGGGTAGTTTTCAATTCATTTACCTTATAGATAAAAAACCATGCTAATTCAATTTGAAAAATTGCCCTATTAGTTTTATAGAAAAGTTAATCAAAATGCTCGCCATGATTAGTCGCTATGACGACTTTCAAAAGTTTTATCAAGCAGCGCACATTTTCGTTGCAAAAAAGGAAGCTATTTTTTCTCTCTGGGTCCATAGAGTGATCTAAGTTGTTTTGCAGAACATTCTGGAGGAACAGAGTTCTTAACTTAAATGTCCAAGATATTCGATGGGAGTATGTTGCCTCAAAGCACCCCAAACAGGAAGATGGATACAACTGTGGCATTTTCATATTGAAGGTACTGAAACACACAATTTTGTTGCAGCACAAGCTTAGAATTTATATATAGAAAAGAAAATACCAGATGTCTTGTCGAGCATAAAATTGTATTCTATACTAGTTCAAGTTGCTAACTGATTCAAAAAATATATTTAGGGGAATAGAAGCTGTATGTAAAAAGGAAGATACACAGGATAAGCTTGGCTGTTTGCCAGAACCTGTGAGTCTTGCAATGAGTAACAATATGATTTAAGGTAATAGTCAAGCAAAATGCAAAATAACGATGAGAACCCAATGTTGTATAATAGAATTTTTGGATAAATTTTATTTAAACTAATATGTCGCTCCAGCATACAGAGCTTAATCAGAGTGAATAGAATCTGGACATATGAACTTTACTATGAACAGCTATTTTCTATAAATTCTTCGCAACAAATGTTTGTTTAATAAAAGTAACCATTGGCTCATTCAATGTCACAGACTCGAAAACAAAGTCTTTCCTTTAGTATTGAAATTCTGTTTTGAAAATAATCTTGCAACTTGTGTTGCCACGGCACTCTGGCATGCACATAAAAGATTTATATGAGGAGAATATAACGTGATACAATTCATTGCTTCTTCTCTTTCAAATGTCATGCTAGCAAGTCTTCATCAATTAGTTCAATGCATTCTTTGTATGACGTCATATTTATCCATGGAATATCTAGGTTAGCAAGGAGCTTTTCCATCATGTTTAACAAACTATCAACATTTTGTCTAAACGGCCAATCCCCGTACTTTGTGGAGACTTTTGTCAACAAACTTTTGCTACACGAAACCATAAGACAGTAAAAGCAGAAAACTGTTATTTCAAGTACGTTTTACAGGCAACAAAGCATTCAAAGAGTATGAAATTCTTGCCTTAGTTCATCTACTTCCTGTCTATGGGATTGTGCGATGCGAAGGGCTGTCTGACGATTCGAACAGAAACCGCTCATTGGTGTGTCTGAAGATTCAAACCGAAAACCACTTGACCGATCCCTACATTGTGCAAAATGGCGAAAGGAGAGCTGTGTTGTTCGTCAACTTCAAATAATTCATTCAAAAGAATGCATGGGACAGTTTGTTGAATTTTGAATATAAAATGAGAATTTATTTGTTTGTTTGTTTCAATAAAATTACAAGTTCAGTGGTTATTAGCGATGGAGGAGAAAACTTTGCAAGTTGTGAAAGAGCTGATGGCAGTACAGGAACGGGCCTACAAGAACGCAATTGAAATACTCTTTTCGGAGGTGAAAAAAAACATTAGACACCTGAACAATGAGATACAAGAAATGAAATGTAGCTTGCAATTTTCTCAGAAGGACATTGATGAGCTAAATTCCAAGGTAACATCTATTTAATGCCAAAGTAAATTTGCAACACATTGCTCTGGAGCATATTGACGGAGAATGCAAAGGAATCTCAAACCAAGTTGACTAACTAGAGAATCAGTCGAGACGTATTAGTATCAAGATACTTGGGCTAGCAGAGAGGAAAGAGGAATGTACTTGGGATGACACAGAGGAGCTTATCAAGTAGACAATCAAAAACACCCTCGGGGTTGAAGAAAATGCAGGCTGCAAGGAAGAAAAAGTCTGATGGATTGATCTTTGTCCAAGATTTTTCACAGCGAATACTCAACAGACGTGATGGGCAAAAGGATAATTTGAAAAAGGCAAGGGAAGATGGCGAAAAAGCCTATTTTTTCATGGACCGATTGATAATTCGAGAACCTACTGACAAGAACAACAAGAGTTTCATATGCAATGATAGTAAAATTTCCTTCACGGAGTCGTAAGATGCCTACCTATATTGTGTTTGATACAAACTTTTGTGTTGACTCAGTACATTCATTGTGGTCAATTATTTTTGTTATGGTCCAATTTTTTATTTTAGGCCCAAGCCATGTCAATGGTAGCAACTGATACCCCTCCGTGTGGCATTTGCCAGAAAAAGATACCTGCTCGTGGCAAGTCAATATTTTGTAATCACTGCAAATTTTGGGTCCATATAAGATGTAATAATATCTGAGTATAAAGAGCTGCAAAAGGAGCCTGATAATGTTCCGTGGTTTTGTTTGAATTGAATGTTTCCCTTTGGTTAATTGTGCAATGAAGAATTATCTAACCTGAAGGAATTAGACTTTCCATCTTTTATAGATTCAATTCCATCCTTTGAAATAACTTCTGGTCTTACCAACTTGCCTAATTTAGGAGATTACGATATTGATGAACATTTACTCTCTTATGTCAACTCTAGTTATCATACGCCCCAGGACTTCTACACTACATTTCACCATCTACACTTTTTACAAAGGATCTTTCCTTGTTTCATGCGAATATCAGGAGCCTCTCACTTCATTTTGATGAACTTGTTTCAACTCTCTAACTTAAAAATAAACTTTGATGTTATTGGTGTTTCTGAAACTTGGAATTCTTTTGAAAATCCTATTAAAACAAATGTGGAAATTCCTGGTTACAATTATTCTCCATCCCAGTCACATACCCAAAATGGTGGTGTTGCAATTTATATGAAATCAGAACTTACTCCAATTCCTAGACCAGATCTAGGTAAGGACATTATTGATTCTGAGTCGGTCTGGGTTGAAGTTGAAAATGAAAATGGTAAAAAATATCTGTCCTGTTGTGTTTATCGTCATCCAGGTTCAACTTTTGATACCTTTAGTGAATATCTGCAAGAAACTCTGTCCAACCTCACTGTAATTAATAAGCATGTTTTTATCCTTGGAGACTTCAACATCAACCTACTGAATTATATCTCTAGTACACCTATCACAAATTATGTTAATTTCATTTTCTCGAAACAAATCCTACCATACATTATTCATCCATCTAGAGTATCTGCACATTCTTCTTCTCTTGTTGACAATATTTTTTCAAACATCACAGATACTGAAACCATAAGTGGCAATATTTTGACGCAAATAACAGATCATAACCCTCAATTTTTAATTGTCAAACATGCTGGTATCACCTATAAGAATCTCTCATATTTCCAACATGATTTTTCTCACTTCAATGAAGAAAATCTCCTAAATGATTTTGCAAACCTTGACCTTTCATATTTAAATTACAGTGCTTTAGATGTAAATTCAAAGTGCAATAGACTCCTATCCAGCCTTGATGAATTGGTCAAAACCCATGCTCTCTTGAGAAAACTTACAAAGAAAGACATAAAGTTCAGGTACAAACCATGCATAAATGGCAAGATTCACAAAATGATGCGCATCAGAGATCAGATACCTAAAAAGCTTAAAAAGAACAACAACCAAGCTCTTATCAATCTTTACAAAAAGTTTAGAAATCGGGTTTTTGTCTCCTTGAATAAAAGTTAGGCTAGCTACTTCTATAAATACTTCCAAAAGAACAGTAATAACATGAAACAATTATGGTCAGGAATTAAATCAGTTATTGATGTAAAAAATCAAGTAATATAAATGTGATAAATAAGCTTAAGAACTCAAATGGTAACAGTACATCAGATCCCGTGGTCATTGGAAACGTATTCAATTAATTTCCTTGTTAATGTTTCTCATGATATCACCAAAAATATACCAAGATCCAACAAGTCCCCAGTGGATTCCATGGGTGATAGAGTTGGAAATTCTTTTTTCACTGCCCCTTCAGTTCCCTTTGAAATATCTGATATAATATCTGCCCTAATTCTGGGAAATCTCTTGGTCCAAACAGCATTCCAATGAAGATTTTAAAATGTCTTTCCCCATTGATCTTCTCTCCACTTTCTCAAATCATAAAAGAATCATTTCAATCTGGAATATTTCCTGAAAAGATGAAGTTGGCCAAAGTTATCCCACTTTTTAAGAAAGGCTGTCCACTAACAGCATCAAACTATAGACCCATCTCTTTTCTCTGTCTTCAGCAAAATTACAGAAAAGATCATGTATGAACGTGTCTATAAATTCATGGAAAAGCATGAAATCTTATATTTATTACAATTTGGTTTTCAGGCTAGCCATTCCATTAGCCATGCACTGGTTAATCTAACAGAAGAAATCAAAAGTTCATTAGACAATAGAAAATTTGGTTGTAGAATATTTATAGATTTGCAAAAGGCTTTTGACACAGTGAATCATTATATTCTTTCAATGAAATTAGAACATTGTGGAATTAGAGGAACTGCTCAAGATCTGCTTGATATGGAACTGCTTCTTGTTCCATTTCGAGCAAGATGTTGCATAGTAAGGACTTTGAGCTTCAGTGCAGTGTTGCTGAAAGAACATGGGGATATCGAGGAGAGGTCAGATGTTCTGGTAGAAGATCTCCGGTTCATGAATGGAAGATAGGTTTAAGTGGGAAGAGAAACAGGCAGTTTAATTACCCAAAAGCTGATGCAAAAGATTGGGTAAGTTGGTTCCAAGTATATCATTCTGCCTTAATGATAAACAAGCAATTATTTATGTAATGGGATGCTTTATTTTTCATATTCCATGACACCTAAACAACTGTTTCCAGAAGGCAACTTATGTCTGTTTAAGCCTGTAAACGTTCGCTTATCACAAGATCAGTCTTTAACGTAAGTGAGTCGTAACGCTAGGAACGAAACTGAACGTCATTTGATATAGGTGTGACAAGCAACGCAAACCACAGAATGGAATGGACCCTACAAAAAGGATTATGTTCAAGCCCTAACAATTACATCAAATTTGCAACACGCATTAGTTGACATAACACCCACAATTCCGTTGATAATCAACTACATCAAATGCTGTTAACGACTTTGTATTGTTTCAAATAAATGACGTCATCATTAAACAATTACCCTTGGTATTCAGTACCGTAAATTCTCGTATTAGCCCCCCCCCTTGAATAAGCCCCCCCTAGAACTACAAAATGTCAATAAACCCCACCCCTACTCACATAAGCCCCCACTGCTACCGTAAATTCTCGAATTGGACCCCTTAAAGGCAATCTGTCACAACGTTGATTGGTTATAAGAACAAAGGGATTTTTATTGTTTCCAGTCCCCCTTTAATTTATCGCATTGTAAAAAGTATGACGGAGCGCTGAAATCGTGTTTAGGCTATTGTTCCAGCTATTGTTTTTGTTAACCAATCCACAACGAGACAGATTGCCTTTAATTTGATGAATTTTTGCAATCTGAGGTTGCCTATGGAGTTTTTGTGAATTACCACAATAAATTGATACTTTTGGTAGTAATAAATTAAATGCTCATCAATGAATTCCTACTCAAATAAAAGAGGTCTTTTAATAATGTCTTCTTAGTGTCTACAATAATTTTATAAGCCCCCCCCCTTGTATAAACCTCCCCCCTCGAATAAGCCCCCATCAAAAAGTATCAAATATAAATAAGCCCCCAGGGTGCTAATTATGGTGAGTTTTCGTATGTTTATAATAAATATGACGAGTTTCCCTATGGTTGTCAGGTGGAGCTAATAATTTATGAAATTAGAGTATTGCTCATCTCTTCCTTCATTAACAGGTTGCAGTGTTCTCGGATTCCCAGCTGCGTCCCCTGGTACAAGGGGAAGTCACTGCTCCTTCCAACTGGTATTTGAATTCCACCCCTGGAGGATGTTTCAGTCACGTTGCACAACAGGTGTGTTTAATTCGTCCCTATCCAGAAATATTTGCTGCTTTTACAACCCTTATGTAGGTTAGCAAATGTTAGGCTTTAGGTGTTCATAATATAACAACTTTGTTCAATCTACATATTTTAAAATCATCGTTGTCTCTTGCAGATCAATCATGTGAAGTTCCCCAAAAACGTCTCTTCGCCAAAATGTGTAGTGCTTCTAGTAGGCACAAATGACATGGCACAGCACATTTTGATTCAAAGGGCAGCGGGAAGTCTGGGAAATCTGTTATCCACTGCAGAAAAGAAGTTTCCTGATTCAAAGGTAGATAGCACTTACAACCTGATCTGCAGTTTTAAATGGATTTATGTCCAAACATATGCACATGTTGCAATATTGCATCCATAAAATGAATTTTTTTTCTATTTGTGCCTTGAGGTTGGTGGGATTTTTCAAAAACAAAGAAAAAAAACTTAATCAAATATACATTGATTATCCTAAGCATAATAACTGAGCAGTTTACTAGAGCGTCAGAAAAAGGAGTTATAAACTATTATCGATTTATTGAAACGAACCGAGACTGTGAGATACTACAATTCTTATTCCATAGATATTGGTGACGTCAATCCTTCCAAGACTAGACGAGTTAGAATACAGATCAGAGTTTGAATATATAACAAAAAGATGTAGGAGCTCTGCTCGAGAAAGAGACAGAGGTTCTTGGATGTAACACCTTACTTCCCCAAATCTGACAAACGTCTCAGGTCATGGAAGGATGGCGTCTATATCAGCGAAGACAGGGGACTCCCTTTTCTGCTTCTGCTGATTCAAAGGGAAATCCAAGCGTCAGGAGGCGCCGCCTGTAAAATGACAGCAGTTTTGCCCCAAGTGGATGTGGAGAGAGCTGAAAAACCACAATCCTCTGGGTAAGTGTGCTGTTAATAAAAATAATGAGTCAGTTCCATAAGTGAACAATTTGATTCCGTTTAAGATTTAATTAAATAGCAAGAACCAAACTTTCTTTTTTTCAAAATGGCAAACGAAAAAGATGACAGGACATGTACAATCAGAGTACGCATTAAACATACCCTGTGGTTCTTCTTGGAAAGAACTACAGTATACTGAATCAGCAGTAAATGGCTCAAGTAGCCAATTTCATGAAGGACATTGAAATCGTAACATTTGGATTTTGCAGCGATTCTCCCTTGCTGCCGTTGCTACCTAGTCACATTCTCCAGGATGATCACACCAGCCCTTTATCTCATACCATGTATTGAAGAGTGTCTGTTGATGATTTTATTTTCTGCGTTTCCCTCTATAGTTTTCCTCACTTTCTCATTCATTTTTATTTTTCAGTTCGCAATGTGGAAAGAAAGAAGAGCCAGACTGTTCAAGCGAGGTGAAATGACTAGTATCGTAGCAATTCATTGTGTAGCTTTTTGATTTTACTATATTAATCTTAGTTGTTAGTTAAAAGTTACAATAGCAAAGACCTTTTACCATGGAATGGTAATGTGTGTCCTTCCTTTTTTGACACTTAATAGATATCTGTTATCTATTACACTTAATAGAAACCTTACGGAGCCATCGTTCTTAGTAAAAAATTGTTTTGTATTTTGATGGTACGATAAACATTTTCAGATTCAATCAAGAAAAGAAGCATAATCTACGTCAAGAAAGAGGTTTTCACCGTCTCGGTAGACATGATGCTTCGCAAAGCAGGTGCCCATGCGGAAATTATACGCAGACACGGCATAATTGTTGACAATGTTGTTGTCAAAGCCAGACATTGTGGGATATATGACAGCCATGCCAAACTGGTATGATCTTAAATATTATGAGCCTGAAACGGGAAGGCATATTGGATAGCTTTATTTAGCCATGTTTTACTGTCTTTTAACTGCAAAGATATTTAAGGCATTCCTATACATAGTCTAAATATCTCTGGCTCCTCTCATTACTTCCAGACAAGCCAACAAAACTGTGCTGGAATTTGATCACAAAAATGGAATTTGATCACATTTAATAATGTGACAGGGTACACCTTTTCAGTGCCCTTTGGGCTTTTTTTTGGGCACAGATTGCACAATTGTGGAGTTTGTGTTTGTTGAAGCAGTGCTCGAGTAAGCTTTACATTGTCTTTTATACGGCTAAAGCAACAACCGTGGAAGTGTGCATTGGCGTTGGGTGTCATAAAATTTGTCTTGGCATAGTCTCACACGTCTCAACCTGAACTTGGGCTATGGAGAGGAAAGGTTTTACTTTGCAACCCTGCCCACCCAGCCCATGTCTAGATATTTATCTGGGTTTTTTTCACATGCAAGTTAGCTTTCTACTTCTTTTCTTCGAGCTTTAGTTAATGGCTGTATGGCTTGATACTTTTGCATGAACAAGGTGTTGCCAGTCGGCAGAAGAAGGCCAGTGTTCTTCTTCTCAACCCCTCAAAAACGGTTGGGTTTTTTATTTATGGCCCTCTTTGCGAAACAGCCCAAAAATAAATAGTTCAAGTGATGAGAGAACGCCACCTTCAGTCTTGTGATTGATAATGCTATAATATTCTGAATAACCTGGAACTACATCTTACCCTTGTTTGCTAATGGTTCTTGTCTTAGAGGATTAGAATCAATTGAAATGCCTGCGGAAGACATGTACAGTTCAGATCTCATGAGAGGGCTTGCTAGGTCAAAATTACCCAGCGGAATAGAAGCAAATCTTATCTTAATCAAGGTTTCGGTGCCTTTACCATCAGAATGGCAATTAATTACCCCATCTCAAAATTTGAACATCTTTGGCGCTCCTACTAGACTTAGATATAATTCTGAGTCGGTAAAATATTTCACCAAAATTCTTAGTAGACAGTCCTTACTGCTATTGGGTTATCTTCGAAAATTTTGTCAAGAAGCCGGAGTCTCGAAAAGAGTCTTCGGTCTATTTTCATGCCCAAGCAAAGTGCACTATCGTTTTGTTTTCATAATGCTTCATTGACCATCAGGTACCAAAACAGTAGTAATATTCAAATATTATTTAATGGTAATGTCCTACATAAACAGGGTAATCTTTCTTCTTTAAAAAGATGATGAGTTTGACAGCTCAGTTCACAAACTGGAGGAATCATGGTCAAAAAAACAGGATCCACATCAATCAGGGAAACGCCACAAGAAAATTGGCACATATCAGAAACCACCGAAATACAAGGTGCACTTTTCGCAGCAAATTTGGAGAAGAATGTTGAAAAGCGAAAGCAGAAAAATCGATCCGCGCAGTCTAGGAAGGTGAAGAGAGAGTTGCGATTTGATAAGGAAACAGCTAAATACGAACATGAAGAAAAAGGTCCAACTAGTAAAAAGGTAAGAAATAACATTAAAAAGGATGAGGTTAGCGTAGATAATATTTTTAATGAAGAAGTTGACAGTAACAGTTCTAGTGACCCTGAAAATCAACAAACTTTGACTACTAGAGAGAAACCAGGCTTCTGAGTTTACAAAGATGATTGTTATCGTAATGCGTTAGAAGCAAGTGGAGGCTCTATGGAAAAGCTAAAAAGGTATTGGAAGATTGTTGGTTTAGTTTGTCCACGGCAGAAAAAGAAAAAATTATCAAATATGGCAGCAAAAACAAGGACCTGTGCTGTTTCTGTGGCAAAGACGAGGCTCCTAGATCTGGGAATGAAAATCGAAGAATGGATCTTGTGTTTTCAATGCCTGAATTGGTCTCATCAGAAATATGTACTTTGCTGGCATCATCCCTGGACGCAGGGGTTAGGGGGCACCCAGGTGTAAAAGAGCATATGGATCATAAGCCTCGAAATGCTCTGCCTGGTGGATTAGCTGAGGAGCTAGAAAGGACTAATAATCACAAATTATATCATATATGTATATTTGTGTATATATCATAGATTGAAGAAAGTAAAACTACATGGTTTATCTCTACAAGCCTGTTTCGTGAGTATATTTATATACATATATAACACTCTATATGAAAGAGAATAAACAGTATAGAATGCCTATGCTGAAACACGCCCCTTTAATGCAGGTACAGTACTTCAATAGCACACTGGCTCCCAGATCTCGTTTGGCACAAGGATGTGGAACAATGCTCAGTACAGCAGGGCTGCGGTTGGTATAACACCATTTTTTCTTAGTTTTCTGACAAGCTGAGCTTGTTATTTGTATGGTTTCGAACAAACATTGCTACCTTTTTGGAACCCAAGATCTCCGCGGGAGAACACTTCAGGCTTGTCTACTGCGGCACCCTCATCGGTCATGTTTGCTGTTGGTACATCATCACGGTGGATGCCTGACATGACGATAACCACATGACCATCAATCATATGCTCCCTGAGCTTCACTCTCGCTCGAATCTACGCCTGCACTTGTTGATATAACACAAGACTATCCACAAAATCAGCACGTTATAATGGCCAGCAATTACATTTCAAAAGACAAAGAAGACACACGCTAATCATCCACCACCAAGAAAGGTACTACATTTCTACTTTACAAATTACAAATTATCCACACCTTTAATGTTCGTTCTCCTCACATGGTTTAGCACTCTATACCAGTATTTCATATGATACTCGTTACATATATAGCCAAAAATCATATTTATATCAATATATACCAGAATCTGCAAAGCATACACCTGTCGATACAGCCAGCATAATGGTGGGGCACACAAAGAGCAGAACAGCAAATTGACTGCTCTCAAATCCAAAAGCCTGGCGACTAGCTTCTACCACCAAGACAAATCTGAAGAATTTCAGAGACAGGCAGAGAAAGGTCGATATTCGACTTTTCTCTACCCGGAGGTCAACATCCGATACAGAAATGATTTCTCGTTGGATTTGCAAAAACAAGTGGCAGAGGCCTGTTGCACGTTCCCCAGGACCATGTGCAAAATACTGGCCTCCCATCACGAACCAATGAGGTCATCGCAAGATGATCTCACACAAAACTACATAGACATGGCCAGGAAAAGATATCCCGCTGCATACGCTGGTATTGTATCAGGGGCAGAAACCCTGGCCATGGATAAACACATAAGATACAAAGGAACCAGAGAGTGCCCAACAACAGGCAATAAGCGGAAACGCGAACGGCGTTGAACAATTTTGAATTTATAATTAAACATATAACTTTAACAATATACATATAATTTTGTTTTATTTTACAACTATACTATCAAACCTCATTCACATTGTCTTCTATTGTTCTCGCTGCATACAGGATCCGAGGGTACACGTATATTCACAAATCAACATACCAAAACACGCCTTAGAAAGATTTGAGGCCAAAATAGAAAACATCGCGCGAAAGTGAAAACACAAAAATCATCAGCAAGCAAATACCTTTTAAACGAAAAACAACAATCTCACAAGGTGCGATACAGCAATATTGTCAATCTTAAGCTTGGTTTCCACTATGGGTTAACGTGAGATAATTCTGAGCTAAATTGAAAATTAACTCATGGTCTAAATTCAAGTTAACTTGAGATAGTGTGAAATAGCGTGAGATAACGCGAGCTATCTCAAAGTTAACCCATGTACCGATTCGGTTTCCACTTGAGATAGAATTAAGTATGGAAATTTCAGAAAACACATTTTATTTGAGCCTTCCAGCTATGGCGGGCATCTTACAAGAACAACTTATTTTACTTCTGCTTTTGAGAATACTTAGAAGGAAAATATTTTTTGCTAGAAGTGCCGTTCGCGATCTGCGCCAAGGTTTTCGGTACGGAAAGTCTACCAAAAAAGATATGCGTTTGGTGAATACGACCACTTGGAATGGGAACTTAGAAATGAGAACATGCTTCTCTTATTTCACAATTGATTTTTTTTTAGTAAAGAAAACTGTTTTCAATATCTGAAGTAATACTCAGTGCAAGTGCGTTGCGTAAGAACCTCAGTGCAAATTATAGCACATTCCCATCCCACGCATCGGCTTCTTTTGATAAGATGTTATCTCAAGCTAACTCATGAGCTTGAAATCAAAAAATTTTGTTTTCAAGCTCATGAGATAACGTGAGTTAACACGAGTTAATTTTCATGAGATAATTTTTAATGACCGTTTCCACTATGAGATAATTTTTAAACCATGTCAGATCACAAAATTATCTAAAATTAACTCACGTTAACTCATAGTGGAAACCAAGCTTTAGTGATTTGAAACTTAACTTGTTACAAGAAAAGAAAGAAAATCAAAGTTCCAACTGCCAGATCAGGAAGGCAATATAATGTTGATGTTGAACAAATTTATTTAAAAGTAGAAAAATAACAATATGTGCCTCGTATTTCATGGTACAGAGTTAAATATTGTACTTTTGTTCGCCAAATTTCATCATTTTCATGACACAGTTTTCATTGAAAGGAGACTTGACCCCAAATCCATTTTTCTACTGATGCTTATTTACTCTACCTTCTTCCAAATTCTGCAAAAAAATTCAGGTTTTAGGTTGTCCTCATGGGGGGAAGGGGTCAAGATCAGATGGCAGTAAAAAACTTTGCACAAATGGAGAATGTTCTTGAAGCCTTTTAGCTATTAAACTGTTTGAGGTCCATTTCATCTGATTTAATATTTGAGATCTATATTCCTTAATTGACTAAAATACCAAGTTTGATGCAGATATGATGAACAGTAAGAGATCTACCACCAAAATTCTTTCTCTAAAATCTTTGTTGTTGGAAGCGCCCTAAACCTTGTGTGCCAGGCCTAAATTTTCAATCATTGCTTTTGGTGATGATTTGGTATGGAATGGGAACTTCTTTCTGAGGAGCATCAAAAAATCATCTGTGATCATGTTTTCACACCACAGACTGTACACAAGCAAGTGAGTGTAGGCCCCCTGCAAATTCTAAGTAAACGTGGAATAAGAAACAAATATAATGTCTGCTACCTCAACTCATTACTGCAAATTCTATTGGGTCTGTAATATACAGGTTCTTTGAAGGTATCTCTAAAAGTAACAGTATGGTTAATCTACTAAAATCCGTCCATAAAGATCTATGCAAACCGGATTCTGAACCCCTTGATTATACAGATGCCATGAAAGGGATTAAAATTATAGTCACGTTAGAAGAAGGAGTCTAATGTCTAATGGGAATGTTTTACAACTATCTAAAGTAATGTGTGAACCGGGCAACCCCTATTATCATTTAGCCAGGGTTTTTGATATTGTCCAGGGTAATATTGAGAATGCTTGCTGTTTTTATTTACCAATTGGAGGCTCATCTTACCACAATTCAACAGTGCAATCATTGCTTTGGGACTGGAGCACCATTGCACAAAGAAGTCATATTGCTGGCCCTTGTAAATGCAGCAACAGGGAAGGCCACTTTGTGCATCAATGATTTTGTATGTTTCCTCTGGCAGTTTTAACAGATATTCTAGATCGAAATGTTTTTAACAAGAGAAGTTGTTCTGGCATGATTGACCCTCTTCCTATTGTAGTCGCCAAAACTAAATCTAAAAAATGTAATTGCAGGCTTTACTGGAGCACAAAGGAAACCTATTTTCTAATAGCAGGAATTAATTTTACAGGAAGGAGCAACTTAGTTCATGGCCATTATAATTGCACTTTGTTTGGAGAATATAATGTTGTCATACGTTTTGATGACAGTTACGCTATGAAAAACCGCCTTTCTGAGATCAAAACGAATTCAAACAAGATCTAGGGTATTATTCTATGTTAAAGATACACTTCTTTTTAGGTACAGGGTGGACCCACCTTGGCTAACTGACCTTAATGGCCATGAAATTGCAGACCTAGAAAAATACTGGTTTGGATTACAAGATTTCCTGTGTAGAGAAGTAAGTTTGAGTGACCTTAAAATTCTATTTTCAATTTATTCTGTGCCATATTACTGGAATGTTGCTATCTATTGGGTAAGAAGTACTTTCACATGGGATAAGAGTAAAGTTTTTCCGAGAATGTTGTTCTGAAGAACATGGTAAAGTTTGTGAAAAATCAATCTCCGCAGCTCAAAGGAAGGGCTCGAAAACACTTTCCATATTCACAAATTGAATACACTCAACAATTTTTTCACAAATTCTTTTTTACAGAATCTCCCGTACAATGACGGCAGTATTCGCCGATTGAAAATGGAAGCTGCAAGGGCATTTGCCCTTAGAAAGAAAATAAGATTCAAAATCATAGATCAACGTCGGCATCTCATAAAAGAATTAAGGTATGTTTAGCATTTGATATAAAAACTTCCTTTCTACATATCTATTCATCTTATTACATTTATTCTTTAGCTGTTTCCTTGACATTATTTTCTCTACATTTAACAGAAGTGTAATTAAAAGTTAGATCATTTATATTTCAAGACTGGTTACCTTTAGAATGTTTTATTTTTTTCACAGGACCGGGGATGAGGTATTCCTACAACTTTGCAGGAAACCAAGAGAAAATAAGAGAAAATATAAGAGTCAAATGAAAAAATAAGAGAGACAGTTACTTTTAACTTTTCCTTTCCTTAACTGGCTTTTCATTTGTCTTAACATTTGTCATTTGTCTTTTCGTTTGAATTTATAGTATATTTTTAATTAGTTAATTTGCTGATTACTGATTACCTTTGACAGTTAATCGCCGTTACCCAATAACTCCCATGTTCGGAATTGACTTCCAAATAAGGGCGCGTTTTTCCATAATCACATGATCACATGATCCAAATAAGGGCAAGTGTCTCTCAATGATCACATGACAATTTCGCCCCATAAAACTTGGCTTTCAAATGACAACCCCACATTGCACTTTCGCATATCTCTAATCGTATTTCAACTTTGACGCATTCAAACTTGTAAGTACCTTTTATTCATTGATTTGCAACTTCCTAATTTCATCATATAGTCAAATTTTTCGTATCGAGAACCATCGATACAAAGTAATGCCATAGTTAATAATCTGAGGTAAAAAATGTTCCTATGTCCAATATTTAACGAAGCTGCAAAATAATTTCATGCATTAAACATCCCTTAAATCAGGATATTTTCATTGATATTCCGTATGACTAATATGCCTTCCTTCATTGATTTAAAAAAAAGTTAAATAATTAATTTACATTCTCACTATGTATTTACCAGTGGTATAACCAAAGGAACCACCCCACTAACAAACATTGACCAACAATTGAAATTCATCAAAAGCAATTATAAGAATGCCTTATTTCAATTATAAGGCAACCCACCTCTAACACAAAACTATTTAGTTTCGCACACCCTAGAGAATTTCCAGGTTATGTCATTGGATCCTATCTGTAGTTAATTCTTTAATTTTAGTTTTGACCTTATGCTATTTAATGATAATTCTAAAAGATCAGGACCTCTATCATTGAGTTCGTTGTATTTGTGAAGTTTATGAAACGAACCATTAAAAAAATTGAACTGTACCACCCGAACCTTTCACATCTATAATACATACCAGGGGCACATTCGTATCTGTTTCATTGGTTCTGTGCACCAGTCAAGTTGTATTTAAAATATCCGATTTCCCAAAGTTTTTGCATGTTGTTTATGAAATCAGCGAAAAATATTAGTTGCAATACCATCAAATGGTACAGTGCCATTGACATTATTATTAGGCAGTCTAATTCTTTTACACTCTTTTTTTATAAGAACAGTTTTATTAGAACAGGAGCCTCAAAATTTGTCAAAGTTAAGAACAAATTTAGAACAGTCAGCCTAAATTTAAATTTACTGGTTCTTATAAAAAAGGGTATAGTTATATGATGGTTTCATACAGTTTGAACTTTCTTTTACCTAAAATTTCTCCGTTGATATAGCAAACGGTATAGCTCAATATAACATTCAAAACAAATTGAAGGAGCTGGCATCTTTCCTTGACGGATGCAAATCATCCCTTTCTGATATTAAAAAGGGGGATAACAAAGGAAGGTCACTTCGAATTTGCAGAGCGAAGCTGCAAAGTGCTTGAGGTTCTTGCGAAAAATCTGGATGATTTTTCTTGTGAATTAAATATGACAAAGGACATGGACGATTCTGACTTTTTATTAGAAGTAAAAAACACTAATTAGTTGTACCTATATAAATATTTTACGCTTACATTGTTTACAAATATGCATCTTCATTTTGTTTTTCTTTCATGTCTCTGTTCTTCGGATTTAGAGATCTCCCTAATTTTTCAATACTAATCATTTAAACAGATCTAATCCAGTGCAGATTTCATCGTATTTGAAGTTATTCTAAAAAACTTTCATTTTTCCGATCCAGTACCAGTAACAGTATTTTCCTTAACAAAACTTTCAGGTCTATGAAGGTAGCCATGTTACCGCTTTATGCCTAGCGAACTTCAGTTTGTTTTGTGTCAATCTAAATGCTTCATCAACAGATAAATTTAATAATTTTCAATATCTCAACCGAAGGATCTCTGTCTTAACTTTTTTGTGACTTCTTCATTGTCCTAAACCTTTCAACAAAAAATAGGCAAAGTTGGTAAACCTGTCAACAATTTCGGACAATCAGTTAACGATATATATTCTACAATGATCTAATTGCCGGAAAAGCAAGGGCAGGGAAGCAGTAACGACACTTTTTTTACCATACCAAAACGCCCTCCTGATGTGGCAAGGGCGTTTCAATAGAAACTGCAGTGCTGTAGGAAGGACAGAATTATATAGGAGTACCATTGTTTTGCAACAGTACAAACAAAAGTATTTCTTCATTGGAAACAAGAGATTTTTGTAATTTTTAGAGGCATGGGCATGTTTTTTTAATTTCATGAGATGTTGAAAATAGTTTAACCTTTACACATTTAGAAACTATCGGATTTTTTAAAATGTCCGCTGCATTTTGGGACTTTTTGAGCCTCATTTTGGAATTTTTAACAAATCCAATCTGGCTCTATGTGTACATCCATCATGGCTGCCTAGAACAGATCGTTTCGGTTGAGCTTACAGTTTAAACAAAACAGCAAGTTACAGGATCGAGGAGATGCTTTCTTCCATTTCGTAATTTTGGGTTAAGTTTTAATTTTCTAATAATAATTACTTTAAAGCAGGGAAGTGTGTGGTTTTCTACCTATTTTTGTCTGTTTTCAAGAGAGGCAACAGCTTTATATTTTTCCTAATTTTGCATTCTTTATTTACTGAGATACAATAAACTTACGAAAATTATTCAGGAAATTTTTTTTCAAAAATCCCCGGACCCCACATCTGTTCTGTTTTCCGGCTTTTCGTGCCAATGTCTATTCTTTTTGTAATTTACGATTACGGAGCAGTAAATCTATATTTGACAAATAAAATGCTGAGTGACAATTTCGTGAAGCTATGGAAACCAGCTCAAAAACCAACTTAAAGTGTAGTTTAAATGTCTAACCTTAGAAACCTACAATATATATATATTCACTAATAGCAATATTATCAAATTCAAATTTATACCCCCCTAAAGTCATTTTAATAATTTTAAGCCAGTTTTTGCAACATTGCTTTTCAAATTTGCACAAATTGTTTTCTTGCCCTGACATCATAATAGGTATTCAAGAGTTTATGTCTGTATTGTAAATCATGTATATCATTTAGGGCTGATTAATATTAATAATAATAATAATAATATAACTGAAGCTAAATCCCCATTTCAGAGCAGTTACCCAACTACTGATTGATGATAAAATGAAATGCAATGGAAATGAAAATAAAATGGTACCCTTACCTCTCCATTTTTAGAAACCCCAAAATATATTTATCTTAACCAAAATTAAGAAAAAAAAAAGATTATCAAACCACCTCGGGTGGTATTTTAAACTTTAGAGAGCCCTTAGGACTAGCATTTAAGTAAATTACATGTTTTTTCATGCTCAATGTCAGTAATATTGATTTCAGTAGTAAACTTTCACACCTTCTTTTCTTTTGTTGCATTGGGTAACTTTGTAATCCCCAGCCTTGAGATATGCCACGTCGCCCTCGGCGAAACTTCGATCAGCAAAGAGCAAGAGAAAGGCAAAGACAATATTATCAGAACCATCGTAACAACAACAGACCACCAAATGCAGATGAACAGCAACTTGCTGATGCAGTAAATGAATTAGTTGCCCTGGAACTTCACATGGCACAAAATGAGCTTCCAAATCAACAGGGAAATAATGAAGCTGATATATTCACCAAGTCTTGTTTTCAAGGTAAAGTCACTCTGCCACCAATTGCACTACCTTCAGGAAATATTGTTGACCTATTCAGTGCTGAAACACCACAATCACAGTTTTTTTGGAAAACATTCGTCATTACAATGCTGCTTTGGCAATGGCTTCCTGGAATGACACTGTGTATGAACTTCCTGGCAGAGGACCCCGTGTTGTTACTATTCATCGGCAAACATACCACTTGACAAGTGCAGCAGATGCACCTGAAGGTCAATGTCCACAGTATTCACAATTATACATACTGGACACAAATCAAGGATTGCAGGAGAGGATTCATGATCCAAGAAATGCAAACCTGCAACCTGAGGTCTTGTAACTGCTACAGGTGAGCTTATGACTGTCAATCCATTTGCACGACAGTTCCAAAATATGGGACAAGTTCTTGAAAGAGAACGCAACAATGCTGCAGCAAACAATCAGCCATTACCACCAGTGAGAATGATCATAGCACAGCGACCATTTCAAGACAACGTTATGATAATCCTACAGCCACAGAAATGGCTGCAGTTTATGTTGGAGATGAAGGGGCACCTCCTGATCCTGCTAACAGAGACATAGTTATATACCATACTGCCAACAATAATACCACAAAAATAAAGACAACATCTCCAAATGCAGACCAATGACATATCCACTGTTGTTTTTCCATGGAGAATTTGGGTGGAATATTGATCTTCGACATAATCAGCAGCAACCAGCAGCACGTTGTCCTAATCAAAGGGAGCGTATTTCTTTAAACAAGTTTTATGCTTACAGGATTGCATTTCGTGATGGTTTTTCAATCATTCACCGTGCAAAGTTGCTTTTCCAACAATATTTAGTTGATGTATACACAATAATTGAAGGGAATGAACTGACATACATCAGAACCCATCAAGCACAACTGAGGGTAGAATCATATCAATGTCTTGTAGACCACATACACAGATGAGCTGAAGATGCAAATGTTGGCCGCATTGTCATTATACCCTCAACCTTTCAAGGAAGTCCAAGAAACATGCATCAAAATTATCGAGATGCAATGACCATTGTCACAAAATTTGGTAAACCTGACATCTTCCTAACAATGACTGCAAATCAAAACTGGCCTGAGGTGAGAGAAAATCTCCTTCCACACCAGACAGCCAATAACAGGCCAGATACAGAGGAGGTGCGAAGCTAGGCGGCGCATGCGCATTTCGATGTTTTTCCTGAAGAAGCTCATGGCCGACATTTGCGAAATTTGCGGTACAATTTCAAACGGTAAGTGCTCATCCAAGTTTTTCATCAAAGTTTTCAGAGTTTGTAGAAACCTCTAGTTTTATCTCTCAGTATTACCTAATTTCATATTTACGGCTTTGAAATTACTTAAAATGCCCAAAATTGAGTTGTAATCCCCATATGGTTTAGGCCCATCTTACGAATTTGGCCAAATGCATGTTTTCTTGGGCCGTGTATTTCCTTTCTTTTGTGGGGACAGATTCATTTTATGTGTAGATTAGGTCAATACAAGTCTGATGATGTTAAAATTTCTATTAGTCCCAATTGGTCCCCACAGCTAATGGGTGAAATGACCTTTTAAAAATTGTAAATTTTGGCAGGGTTTAACGAACCCGCCATTTAAAATTCCGAATGTTTATATATGTTGCATGTAGGAATGTTAAATTAAAGTTGTCTTTCAATATTGGTATTACACTTATTTGCCTAAAATGTGTTTTATTTTCTATGGAGACATAATACTGAGTGCTAGTGTTAAGTAAATCTAGAATTTAGGCTAAAACTCTCCTACCAGTTTGTAAACTTGCACACATAAAGTTAAATGCAAGTTTAGGGGTCATCCAAAAATATTTTCTGTCCCAGTTAAAGCAATTTTGCAGTTAAAGGAGGGGGGGGGGAGGTATGAGTTCAGCTGGAACTTTTAAGAATTCTGCATTTTGCACAAGGATGGTTTTTGCCTGCAATGACCATAGCTAGTTTCTAGCTGTTTGCGAATTTTCACCACACAAATATTTTTCTTTGAAGGCCTGGGGCACAAATGAATATATATCCTAATGGTGCAAAATGAATCAAGACATGTGAAAAACACAGGCACTCTAAAAAGGAGAGAATTTCCTTTGCTACGTTTAAAACCCATTTCAGAAGCACTCATCACAGCAGATAAAGCATGTCCAGCAAGCAAGACCCTCCAGACCAGGCAGACTTAACAAAAAATACTTAGAGAAAACAACTTATATAATTAGAAAAAGCTGGTCGAACTCCTATTATACCTATGCCTTGCAGTGATACACTGTTTGATGTAATTGCTCACTGGCCCCAGACAGCAGAGAAGAAACATGGATGTTGCTGTCATTGTGCTAGTGGATATTCAAAGATATATTGCAGCAAGTGTCAAGTTTGCCTATGTCTGAGATGTTGGAGAATTGCTTTGCTAACTATTATGCAAATAAAACTTTTATCATGAAGCATATATATACTTCTTTTCAAATAATATGCAAAGCACTTTATTAAAAACAGAACAAAATGCAACAAATAAAATATGAAAGTTTTCAATTTATGTTAATGTCACAAGTGTAGATACATACATGTATTCCTACTCTTGATTTTTTATTGATGGAATGTCTTCCAGTCTTAATGTGTATGTATCACAGTTATCTTCCTATAAAGATTAGAATCAATAGATTCAAAGTTTACTTATATTAAACCATCTTTTTTCACAGTATGGAATTGCTTTTGCTAGGACTGTGAAAATTTTTTTGTGGACTTATTTTGACATCCTTGATATGAAGAAATTGCAAAAATTTCATATGATCACATTTAGTTGAAAATGTGCAATATTATGAAAAGATATTTTTCATTAATTGAAAAGGCTGGATCACATCAAGAATCTCAATATTGCAAAAGAAAAATATCACCTTTATTCAGAAAACATCAATTTCAGGAAAGAAGTACTAGGTACTTCTGATAATCATATACCTTTTGGTGCCAAAAAAAACCCAATTCAGCATATTTTCAATAAACCAAACCATAAAAAATAACAAGGAAAACAACAATTGTCTGTAAACCTCTATGTTTCTGAATTGTTTTATGGAATTGTCAACGATTTTCTACCATATTACACAAATTTTGGTGTGCTTATCTTGCATCAAGGGATTAAACTAAAGGTTAGTAAAATGTCCCATGTATAATGGTTTTGTATACATCGAGGAAGGGGATTTAACAAAGTAACATTGGTCAATAAAGACTTTCACTTGGGGAACTTCCTTTAAAATCTCTTTCTCAATCCAGGTCCTTTAACTATTTAAGTGATCTTAACAGGTTTTGAGACAGAGTGAAAAGAATTTTAAATCTGATCTTTTTATGTTTGAAAAAACCTTAGTCATATGCAAAAAAACATAGACAAACACGAGGAAAAAAAGTTCAATAGATAGGAATTATAATCATAATAAAATTGATTTTGGCTTCTTGGTTAGTTTAGTTGTTTATTCCTTTCACTGTAACTCTTTCTAAAAGAACAATTTTATAAACATGAGCCTCAAAGCCAGTTAAAAGTAAGAACAAAGTTTTCAAAATAAGAAAAGCCAGCCTTAACCTCAATTTCCTGGCTCCTATAAAACAGAATGTAGGGCCTAAATCAATCAAGGTACAAGGGGTTAAATCTTCAAGAATAACATATGAATTTGATATTTCTTGCTCGTTGAGCTCATTGCTCATATCATCTGTCAAATTTGGGCTTCTGTGCTCTGCTGTACATGTATACATATATACAGTTTGGCAATGAGATCTAAAAGCTATATAAAATCAGTTCAGAGGTAAATGATATATTGTTTTTTAAGTTCTCTGTTTGTCAAACTCATTAGTTTAGCGTTCTCTTCTATCCGTGAGGTCCCAAGAATTTGAATTTGAATTGCATTGGTGTAAATGCCCTACGCTTGCAATAATCTTTGCTTCGAAGTTGATCGCAATGATAAGCAGCATCCATACAGATGTTATAGCGACTGGATCCAGGGAACCTCTATCCTTAAACCATTGTTCTGACGCCTTTTTGGATGTTAGGTTTTTCAAATGATCGGTATTTCTTGAGATAACAAGTATCTTCTCTGCATGATTTCGTTTGCCGCTAAGCAGAGACAAGTTAACCAGTGCTCTGAAGAATATTCCTCATTGCTACTACCAAATATTGTTGACAACCATCCTAGTACAGAACCCTGTTTTTGGTGTTTGAACAATTCATGTTTTTGATGCCTAGGCCAGGAGAGGTCCGCACGCCAGCTGAGCAACAACGATACTGCAATGAACGGCTTTCTGATGGCTACGATGGAATGCGCATGCGCTACCTAGCTTCATACCCCCCCTGGGCCAGATATAATCAGTCGTGTCTTCTACCTAAAACTCGAGGAACTTTTGTGTGACCTTCTTGAAAGAAATACTTTTGACATGTGATTGCATGTCTACACAATTGAGTTCCAGAAAAGAGGTTGGCCGCATGCACACATGGTTCTGTTTTTCTCAGATGGTGATAAATGATGTGTGGCAGAAAACGCTGACAGGTTAGTATGAGTAATTAACATAGGACCAATTGATTAGACTAAATTTTTGTGATGTGCGCCCCTGTGCTTGGCAATTACTTTGACAATAGTTTCGTTTTGTAGTGAAATCTAAATTTTTCTGTAGGTTACACTTTTCTCGCCACAATTTAACTCTTTCATATTCATTTTTGATCACGAAGTTACATTTATGACCAAAAGTAATGGCTACTTCCTTCCTTTTTCCATGAAAAGGCAATACAATCAAGAGAAATGATAATAAGTAACGAAAACTTTGATGCTTGGCAATTACTTTGGCAATAGTTTCGTTTTGTAGCAAAAACTAGATTTTTCTGTAGCCTACATCATTTCTTGCGACAATTCAACTCTTTCATATTCCTTATCAATCTCGAAGTCACACTCGAAGTCGCATCCAGTTTCTTCCATTTTACATGAAAATGCAATACATTCACAACAAATGATATTAACCAGCAAAAACCCTGTTGTTTGGCAATTACTTTGGCAATAGATTCGTTTTGTGGCAATTTCTAAATGTTTCTGTAGGTTACCCTTTTTCTCGCCACAATGTTTCATCTTAATATTGTAATTTTATATAAATGTAGATACTTTGATATTTACCTGCAATTTTGTTTGTTGTTTTGAAATAATGATTAAAAGTTCTTTCTTGATTAAACCTTGATTAAGCATTTCTGTTTTATAAGTTTCATCAAGTAGCATGTCTACTAGATTTCCGAAAACAATTACCTTTTTTACTTTGACTTTGAAGTTTTTATTGCATATGTTGTTAAAATGATTCCGTGCTGTCATGACCACCGTCATGCATTTTCCCCTATGCTTTGATGAAATAATTGGGTAACGCCTACGCATGGCATATACAGGGTCAGTTGTGGTTGATAATTTAACTCCTAATGCGTATTTACAGGCTGACAGAAGCAATTTTTCTAATTTTTTTCAATCATCTGTACCCAAAAATTCAGAGGCATAGTTGAGGTTAGGCATGAGAGTGTAATCGAAAAGATAAAAAAAGTCTTAGATAATAATATTACGAACTTCTTTTGATATCTCTGTTGTTAGTAGGTTCAATACCAGGAATATCATCAGTTGGATACGCTGAAAAAGATATAGACCCAAACTTTAAAAAGACCCCTATGTTTTTTTTTTAGACTAGGATACTAGAGGACTATGAGACTGGAACAAGAATTGCTGCAATTGCACACAGTATGTCAATCATTTGAAAACCTTAAGCGAATGACAACTCTATGCTGCCAATAAGAGGAGATTACACGTATGATCCATTGTATAAAGTAAGGCCAATGGTTGAGTCTATTCTTGAGAAATGTCACAAGATTTCAGTTGAAGAAGGCAATTCAATTGATGAACAGATAATACCAACTAGGTCTTCCATCAAGCAATATCTCCCTAAGAAGACAAACAAATGGGGGTTCAAAGTGTGGGCTAGAGCTGGCATAAGTGGCATCATTTATGACTTTGAGATTTACACAGAAAAGGAGAATGATAAGAAGACTTGGAACTTTTGGCCTTGACCCTTTGTAAAGGAATACGTCATGGCTATAAACATTTCAAGTCTGTTGAGCTGATAAAAGATCTTAAGTCAAAAGGCATTTGGTCTGGAGGAGCAATACGTGCAAATCATTTGAAAAGGGCACAGAAAAATCTCAAAAGTGACAAATAACGCAAGAAAGAAAGTAGAGCTGCATCTAAATATCAAGTAGATGCCAAAAGCAATGTTAAGACAGTGGCATTGTTCAATTGGCCTCAACATATCTAGCATTGATATAGGACAGCAACTTCGTTGTTGGTCAGCAGCTGCAAAAAGGCATATTGAAATTTAGTGTCCAAAGTGGTATTTATGCATATAGTATATTGCTGCATTGGCCTCAGTATTGTGAATTTGTTCCTTTGTTACCAACGTCAATGTGATCAAAAGAGGGTTCCAAAGAAATATAATCAAGCCTGCTCTTCTTTCAGACAAGAATGGTCTATGGACTGCTGTTTGCAAATAGAGCAGACAAAACCTGAGATCAACGTTATAGTTGCAGAGCTGATGGTAAGGTGGAAGTTGCCACAAAAAAGTACAAGAGGTCAATCCCTGCCACCCAAACCCCCTCCCCCATCCCCCCTCCTTGAGAGGTAAGGGAAAATGCTGTTGGTCATTTTCCAGTGTTTAGGAAACACAAAGAAAATGTAAAATCTGCAAAGATGGTTTCTCAAGAATGCAATGTAAAGCTTTGCCTAGTGAAAAATAACAACTTTTTTATGACTTCCACCTGAAGACTGCCTCCTGATCTTGTGAAAAAGAATAAATAGTTGCATTAAGTCTGATTGTCAATTTCAGATTATATTTTCCATTTGGATAGCATGGTGAGAATGCTCTTTTTTTGTTCCATCACATTTTTTTGTTCAACGACTTTCTTGAAAAATAAATGTGGACACATTTAATACCAATGCTTAAATTCTTGTCAACTTCATACAAGCCAAACCCCACAACTCATTTGTCTTCAAAGAAGTGCAAAAAAAGTTTGGCTTTATTACTTCAATTTTTTGGCTGTCATGTACAAATTCAAAATTTTGGGTTGATTTTTCCTCTAAAAATGTTGGTTATTATCGGGTGATATTTAAAAGTAACCTGGGATACAAATAATAATGAATGCTTTTTCCATTTTCTTCATATTTCAAGGCATTGCACCTGATGTGCCTAGACCATTTAGCTTGAGGGGGGAGGGGGGTGGAGGGGCAGTCAGGAAAAAAAGTGATCAACTATACTTTTTTGACCAACTGAGAGCAAATATGGCACGAAAGTATAAGAAAATTGAGTTTGTGGAAAATCATTTCCATGTGGTAAATCCATGAGCACCTTTTGGCAAAAAATCAAATATAGGTTTATCCACAAAAATTTATTATAGCTTCTTTTGAGCTCCTCATAACAATAATTTAAAGACTCATTGGTAACAATGGGCCTTTGCGAGCGTGGCGATGATCCAAACAATGGCAGTAAACTGTCTTCAATGGCAGTAAATTTATTTCAGACTGTCTAAAAATGCATTTGGGGTGCTTGCGTAGCGCAATGGCTCATTGTTAGCAATGAGTCTTCAATCTACAAGAATTTTAAAAGACTGGCAGGGCAAATATGGCTAAGTATGCCAAGTACTGCAAATCCTTAAAGTTTCTCTAATTGGAAGTACTTCTTGCTCAAATAAAGGTTATCACAAAACAACCCGACCTACCATCAATGAAATTAAATAATTATCAGAAAAATCAATTCCCTTTGGGAAATAATTATTGCAAATGAAGTGTCATATGTATGATTGTAGTGTGTTTAGGGGTGTCAAGTGACAAGCAATATATGCAGAAAATAACATGGCTATTAGCTGGGCTTGTTCTAAGCTCAAGATATACTAGAGCACACGTTGAGAACGACTTCTGTCAGCAACTTTACTTGTTCGTTGGGGCACTGAATCCATTGAAGAGATTCTCGCCATTGATATCTCTCGATGCTTTTTTGGATAGAATCAATTTTGGCCCTGTCGTAGTGCCAGAGTCTCCGTGTGTAAGAGGGTGGGGCAAGATTATTGGTCGACAACCTACCGTATACAATTTGGTGATGGCACTGTTCATGGAGTGATGGATGGACACCTGAATAGGTCTATTCTCTCTATAAGCTCTGTTCCCTTATTCCCTGAATAAGCTCTATTCTCATTAGTCTGAAGGAAGTGTAAATGCTGTTGTCAATCCTTGTTGCTCTTTGTTTTATGCGAATGTCCCTTTTGTTTTTTTATCTTGATTGTTATCGAATTTCCGGTTGTACGAATTTTGTACAAACCAGACGTGACATTAAGAAATTTTTCTCAAAACGCAGCCTCCAAACGCTGAAATTACACATGATTTGTGGAACATTATGTCAACGCGTTTCTCATAACTATTTGCATTTTGAAACTTGGCTCAGGCGCATTTATGAATGTGATCTTCTACTGTTATGAAAAGAGGGAGTGTTAAAATAAAAAGTTCACAAAATCAAAGCAAACGATTTGGAAATGGCTTTTGTGCAAAATTAAGCAGAGGCTCAACCGTAAAGTATTTGACCGCCAACCATTCCAATCATCTGGCAACCCTGGTATTATGGTCAGAAAAGTAAAAAGAGCTTTCCGCAAAGCAATCAATTAACCTTAAATAATTTCTAAAATACGACCAGCTAAAAACACGAAATTAGCAATGTCTTAGCTTTCTAAAATAATGTAATTGTTAAAGTTTGTTAAACCTTGTGAAATTTATAAAGGGGTATCTTCTGCTTCAGTTTCTGTGTCATTTTCGTCCTCCCCCAAAAAAGTCAATGTTTTAGAAGTGAGGTGGTCAGCGGCCCTTTTTATTTTTCTTGCTGGATCATCTGTGTTGTAGCGAAGTCGCTGAACTCGTGGTGAGAGGCTCATGAGTCTTGGAACTGAATTTCTTACTTCGTCCTACTTCTCGTTGCACATTAGCCAGTTTACGAGGGCTTTTCGGAGGGTTGTAGTTGTGAACTTCAAGCCCCCATTGCGTCGCTGAAACGCCTTTTTGATGTAAACAGTAAACAACTCAGATGTGTCAAATGGTTGCCCCGTGCCCTTTATTAGAAGAAAATCATGTCTCTTACTCAACATAAGCTTCTCCCTCTCCTCCTCAACATATTTACGTAGATGTTGGTTGACATAATCGTAACTGAAGATGTCCACTCTATTGCACCTGTAATTTTTCTTTGTTTTAAAATCATTTACAACCATTGTAGCGCTGCCATTTTCCTTAAATAAAATGTAGCTTCTGAAACACTCCCCTGCTCCTCGTCAAATAGTTATTTTAATTTCATCAAATCTGCATTACTTGATGGGCTCACTGTGGTGAACAATAAAAGTATTACAAAATCATGGTATAACCTTGCCTTTTGATACCCATCCACCTCTTTTGACGAAATTATCCTGTCCCTCATCAATTTTAATGTTTCTAAAGCCTGTTTCCATTCAAAGTTCTTTCTTTCATTGGCTTCTGAGTACCTTTTATTTCGCTCTATTTCATAGAGGCTCTAGAAAAACAGTGGTAAATTTAAACTAAAAATATCAAAAAGCGATGTGTAAAATGTATGTGTAAATAGGTAGGAGCGCAGGATATGCTGTCCGCTGATCAAAATAGGAATAATAGCCAGTAGCTTAGCCACAGGATGGTGAAAATCCAATGTAGTCAAAAAGAATTTCGAAAAAAAATTAAATATACTTAATTATTCTACTTCGGCTGGTTTCATCAACCATTTTTGACATTAGAATTTAGGCAGCCAGAGTTAAATGTTATGGTATAGAATGAAATGCAACTCAAGTTCCTATTGTAGAATTTCTAATGAAAAGCGAAAATATATATAGCTAAGGAGAACTGGAATACTCACTTGCAATTGGGCCTGCATGTTCCTCAATTGTGTTACTTCCGCTTTTTCCTGCCAACTTTTTGTTAGGCCTTTCTTTTAGAATATATTTTGCTGCCACTATGAGGCTTTGAATATGATTTGCGACTGTACCCATATACCCTAACAAAGTTGATGTTTGTAGCATCCTCTATTTGTGGGGGTCTGTTATATGTGTCTTTTACATGTTCAAAGAACTTCTTTAACCTTCTTGTGTGGCGTTCAATTGTCCCTGCTGACATACTGTTTGATGGTCTTAACGGGTTTATTTCATCTGTGTAGAATTCTCGGAGCTTCTCAAAGAACACTTCAAATGAAGAAACTCCATCCTGCATGCTTGAAGCAGCTTCGTAACTTGTACTCGCCTCCACATTGGCGACTGCTGCTTGTGGTAGTTGAAGCACACTCTGCTTCTGTAGCAGCAAATGAAGACTGTCTAAAGGGATGACGTAATGCCCACCTTTACGTGGTTCAAATTTCTCTTCGAGCTTCAAGCGCAAGATCCCCTCAGGTTTCTTGCACTTTATCTTCAATCTGTGCATTCTGCTGCAGAGAGTTGAGCTTGTAGATTTTTTGTGAACTCGGCCTTCACTTGTTCCATGCTTATCCACAATGTTCCATTTGATTCAAATGCCAACCATCTTTTCTCTTGGCCTTCGGTTTAGAGGTAATATTCATTAACGTTTAGAATTTACAAAACAAAGATAGCCTCAGACATCTTGAAGTACAGAGTCACAGAATGTCCAACTCCAATGCAATGCTTTGTGAGCTTTTTAAGGAGATTCACAGTTTTCATAAGTCGTAGACTCTGTCAATTGGTAATAAACGATTACAGACATTGATGCTAAAGGCCTTAACAATTTAGTTGAAACATTTTAAGAGACATTACAAAAGAATTAAAGAATCACCCTTTGAAGTTATTAAGCTACGCCTAGTAATAGTGTAATAATTACAAATGCTTCAAAAAGAAAGATAATCTGCCAATCACTTCTTTGACAATTCGATCGGACATCAACTGTGAGCTTTGCCCATCAGCCTCAGCTTCACCTGCATTTCCATCTTCTTTGCTTGAAGGCAAGTGGCTTACACGTCTTTTCTGGACAAACTCGCTTAGCTCCCGGAGGGATTCTTTTCCGAGAGGTTTGAATTTAAGAAACTCTATACCATACCTAGGGAGAAGTTAAGACTTTTTGTAACTAGCACTCTCTTAAATTCTGGAGATAATGGAGAAGGCTGCCATCCATCTCAAATTAGCTTTGCAAATTGAAATAACAAACATGGAATAACATTACAGTCAAGTCCAAATTACATAGTATTCAGCATAGGTAGGATGAAATTCAAGGCTTGAAAAATGATTTTTCTTCTTGTCAGCTAAATAAAAAATTCAAAATTTCTTGCAAAGCTAGGGAAAATTTTCCAATGAATCACAGAAGGTGATTTTTTAAGGTGCCAGATTGTTTGAGCTTTTGTTCTGAAAAAAACTGTCACACTAAGCTAAAACTAATTGTTGGTCCTCGATTTTTTATCAAAGCTGTTCTAACAGCAATCATTTTGTTTATACTATATTAGATAATCGAGGAGAACATGATCGAGCCTAATACATATAGTTTGCACAATACACAATACACTGATAATATCAAATGATTGTATTTTGAAAGCTAATCTTCATTTTTTGTTAGTAGTGCAGAACGAAAACTATACAGTATGTATGTTTATGACAAAAAAACAGCGTTAGGTAGAATGATATTAACATTGATTTAGTGTTCATAATAACATAAAGCTATGGAGATTTCACGCTAAAAATTTCATTTTTCTTTTCTGGACATTTTCCAGCCCTGATGAAGTTGCACTCACCGGTACATAGCTTCCTGAAGACGTACATTACTGTTTGATGTTGATAGGTGACAACCTGCTGTACGTTAGCTCTGTGACTGTAAGGCCTGTTTTCTCAATGACATCTTGGGAACAGAGGGACAAGACGTCTTCCTTGGAAAACCTCCAAAGCATCGCATTTGTTACCTTGCTAGTGCATGTGACATTTGTCTCTGTAAAACTCCCATGCTTGGTGAGCCAGCGTGGAAATCTGTGTGTTAACCAGTCACTTACATCTGACCAAGATGGTGTCCCCCATATCATAACATTGTCAAAAATGTCTACCCATGCGCATTGGAGACATTGATCATATTCCAGAATGCCAGTTACCAGAGGCTGCATCTGGTCTGTCGGCTTGCCTGATTTGAGAAAAATCTCACACTTGTTAAGAGATTTCCTCGCTTCATCAACAGACTGCTCGTCAGCAGTGTCCCTTGTTGCGTCGAGAAAGCAAGAGTAATCTTGTTTCCAGCATTGGATGCTTGCATTTCCAACCCCTCTCCTTTTAGGTATGAAGCTTGTTGCTAAATATGCTGCCAAGAGACCATTGATGCAATGATAGGCAAATGATAGGGAACAAAACATACAGATGGGTGTGCAGGTTTCTAGTAATTCTTTTATAGAAAGGGTTATCTGTTTGCGCACCCCAAATTAATGGGAAAAAGTTGTTTCTGGCAGCTCCTCCAGCGACATTGCCGTGTCCGTTATGAAACTAGGGTGGCTGTTACAACTGTCATCCTCCTCGTCATCCCTCGTAGCACCGTCATGTGCTGCTTCTGCTATTATGAACAATCAGGCTTTGGAGTTCCTTTCTAAAAAGAGGTTATATCCATGATCATTTACAGACCTACATACAAATAATCACTTTAGGTGGCGTAGATTTTTAATTTGGATAGTTCTTTTCTTTGGTGTCTAACTGTGACTGGCCTCCTGTCCAGTAGCACAAGATTTAGCTACGTGTTATTGATCAGGTCTTTAAATGACTTTGTAGATATTTTATATAAAAGTCGTTAAAAATGTTGCATTTTGATGTTATAGCCATAAGATATAATAATTATTTGAATGTTATCAAAACTCATTCACGAGGAGAGTAGTCATGTCATTTGTCGCTCCATAATGTTACTGTGCTTGTTACGGGCTATGATATGAATAAAGCTTAAAAAAGATATGAATTATTATATGGAGCATTGTTAGCACGTTTAGCAAGTTATTTTCTTTCTTACTCGCGATAAGCCTTCAAATCAATCCAGAGAGCGGAAAGCTAGGCCCACAGTGTGACCATTTTGAATCCCGATGCCTCCGAAACGCGCCATCCAAACTTCAAACATGGACGAAGAAACCATCAAAAAAATAATTAACGACGCTGTTTCGAGCCTTGTTAGCAAAGATCACATGGACGCCCTTATGGAGAAATTGGAAAGCAATATAGAAGCAATGATAGACAAGAAAATTGCTCAAGCAACGGAGCCCTTGAGAAAGGAAATTTCGACCATTGAGGGGAAAATTGAGGTTTTCCAGACAAAGCTATCGGAGTTGGAAGTAAGGCTTGATGACGCAGATCAATATAGCCGAAGGTCATGCCTACGTATCTTTGGGGTTCCCTTGCCTGCCAATGGCAAGGAATCCAACAACGACTGCGTGGATCTAGCGAAAAGGATCTTTTCGGAAATGGAGGTCACCGTACCTGTCGATGGAATTGACAGAGTTCATCGCATTGGCAAAAGAAACAAAAACGCAGATGGAACTTTGGGGCAACCTCTCATCATTAAATTTACAGCATGGAGGTACCGCACTGCTGTTTACAAGGGTAGGAAAAAATTAAAGAGTCAGAAAATTCAATTGGATCTGACCCCAAGGAGGGCAAAGCTTCTCTCAAAGGCTCGAATGGTAGTTCAGGACAACCCCAACGTTGATTATGCATTCGCTGATGTCAACTGTCGTTTGGGCATCAAAACAACAAGTGGAGATTTCAAATTCTTTAACTCTGACGAAGAACTCTCCCATATCCTTTCGAAAACGTGATTTATCTGAGTTATTGAAGTCTCCATAAACTTTAATTTTTGTATTTCCCTCCAAGGTACTTTGGTTTTGCCACCGACCCTTTTGTGTTATGTTTTCAGCTTGTTTTGATATTACCAGCAAATAAATTTTTATTTTCGTTGAGTCTCTAGAGAAACGCCAAACAAATAAGAGAAGTGGCCAGGAACTTATGCAAATCATCTGTTAGATTTTTCACTATTTGAATATACTTTTCAGAGCGCATTTCATAGGTTCATGCCACAGTTTCCAAGATTGCACGATTTTCGTGAGTTCATGAATGCTTGTTTCGTTGCATGGGAAATTGCATGGATCTTTGTTATTATCCTCTTACGAGCCTTGACAAGACTGCTTGTTATTCAAAAATCGCCTCATAGCCATGGCTTTATTGGCAAGCAGCAGTAGCATCTTTTCCCCTTATGCCTAGTCATAATCACAAAAGCTAGCATGCACCTACAAGCAAGACCATTATCAATGCTTCTTCTCCAATCTTTAAATCTAGTGAAGATCAAATATTTCCGCAAGAAAGTTACCTTCTAGCCCCCAAGCACCTTGTTGACAAGTCATGACAAACCGAGCCTTTCCTTTTGTAGTTTTTGCTTTGTTTTTAACAGTGAATTGTTTTTGTGTAAATTTGTTTACCCTTTGTTTGTATGTGAGAGAAAAACCAAGTAAACCGAATTGTCATACTAAACCATGGACTTGCGAAGTAGCCTTTCACTTGTTGAGGAGATTAATGTGCTATGATGCCGGTTGATATAAATCATTGGCGAGCGGCAATATCATCGTTCCGCTTACCCTTAATCACAAAAGCTAACACGCATTTACGAGTAAAACCCATATCAGTGCTTCTTTCAATCTTTAAATTATACATCTCTTGCTGCATTTTAGTGTTAATCGCAATTCCTGCCTTACCACTCACTATGGTTGTCCAGACTACAGCAAATTTAACGTCTTATTCGGACACTAGTTTTCTGCACATGTTCGCCCGGATATACTCGTCTGCCAAGGAAATTGGATATGTACTCTTTGAACTAATCAAGCGCTTTCCACTTTTGTTTCTCGATCCCTACAAACGCTCTATTTTCCAATCACTGCTTTTTAGATATACATTCATTTATGCCGCTTGCTCAGTATCCTCTACGCTTTACTTGCAGTGGATAACAAACAAAACAATTGCAATGAGTGGTGACGTTGAAATCAACCCAGGGCCACATCACAGTACTTTCAGTTTTTGTTCCTGGAACTTGAATAGTATTTGCGTGCACGATTTTGCACGTGTTTCTCATATCGAAGCGTATAATTCAATCTATAACTATGACTTAATAGGCATTGTCGAGACCCACATTGACAGCACAGTAAATTCAAAAAAATTAGACCTTAATGGATACACATTTATCAAAAGAAACCATCCATTAAACATAAAACGAGGAGGTGTAGGTCTTTACGTTAAAGATTCTCTCCCAGCAATAAGTCGGGAAGACCTTGCAATTCTACCTGAATGCATTGTGTGTGAAATTCAGCTAGATAAAAAGAAATACTTCTTTTCCATCCTCTACCGGAGTCCAAGTCAGAGCCCATCCGAATTTCAGGCTTTTATGAATAAATTCGAACTCATGTTGTCCAAGATGTCTGGTGAAAACCCTTACTGTGTTATTATAACGGGGGATTTCAACTGCCGCTCTACAAACTGGTGGGTAGATGACATTGAAAATGAAGAGGGCAAACTTTTCGAACCGCTCATATCTGACCTTGGCCTACATCAACTTATAAGTGAACCAACGCACTTTATTGGAAATTCAAGGTCATGCATCGATGTTATATTTACTGATCAGCCAAATTTATTCCTTGAATCGGGTGTTCACCCCTCTTTACAGGAGCATTGTCATCATCAGATTATCTTTGGTAAACTAAGCGTAACAAACTTGTCTCCACCTTCGTATAAACGCAAAATTTGGTACTATGATAGAGCAAATGTGACTGCAATAAAGAAAAGCATTGAGATGTTTCCTTGGAGTGATACCTTTTCGAAAGTCACATGCCCTAATACTAAAGTCAAAAATCTAAATGAGATTCTATTGAATATCTTTTCAAACTTTATACCAAACAAAACAATCACAGTCAGGTCTCGCCAGGCACCTTGGTTAACACAGTCAATCAAAAATTTTTTACAGAAGAAGAATAGGGCATATAAGACCTTCATAAGAAATGGTCAGCCGGAGGACAGGCTCGAGGCCATCAACAACATGATATCTTTTGGATCCAAAATGATCGAGGACGCTAAGGACAAGTACTTTACGAAAATAGGTAGAGCACTTTCAAATCCTGAAACAGGTAGAAAACTCTATTGGTCCTTGATCAATAAAATTTTGAACAAAGCCAAAATACCAATAATCCCTCCTCTGTTAGAAAATGATGTATTTGTGTTGGATTTTTCTGAAAAAGCAGAAATTTTTAATAATTATTTTATCCAACAGTGCACCACAATCGATACTGGTAGCGAACTTCCTCCATTATTTGTACCGAATATTCCACTGCTCACTGCCTTCTCTATCTCTGACGATACGATCTTGCACATCATTCGATCATTGAATCCAAACAAGGCTCATGGTTGTGATGATATCTCAGTGCGTATGATAAAGATATGCGATGATGCACTTCTTCTACCACTTAAATTGATTTTTGAATCGTGTATGAGCCAGGGTGTTTTCCCTGAAGTCTGGAAGCAAGCTAACATAGTTCCCATCCATAAGAAAGGCAGTAAGAACATGAAGCAAAACTATCGTCCTATCTCTCTTCTCCCAATCTTTGGTAAAATTCTGGAAAAGCTGATCTTTGACTCGCTTTATCATCATCTGAATACAAATAATTTATTAAACCCAAATCAGTCAGGATTTCGCCCAGGAGATTCAACTGTCAACCAGTTACTGACAATAGTCAACTCCATATTTACTGCTTTCGACTGCAATCCCACGGTAGATGTCCGATCTGTTTTTCTCGATATTTCAAAGGCCTTTGACAGGGTCTGGCATCTAGGTCTCATATACAAGCTACGCCGATGTGGTGTCTCTGGTAATTTACTAACACTAATGCAAAGCTTTCTCAATGATAGAAAGCAGCGCACTGTTTTGAATGGAAGAACTTCTAAATGGGGTAGTATTTCATCTGGAGTCCCCCAAGGCTCTATCCTCGGTCCTCTATTCTTCCTAATTTATATCAACGACTTGACAGATGGCTTAACGTGTAATGTGAAACTATTCGCCGATGACACATCGATCTTCACAGTTGTAAACGACCCACATGAAGCTGCACGTGATTTGAACCATGATTTAAACCTCATCAAGCTTTGGGCACACAATTGGCGAATGACTTTTAATCCTGACCCAACTAAGCAAGCAGTTGAGGTCATCTTTTCCAAAAAGAAAACTCCAACGAATCATCCTCCTATTTTTTTTAATAATATTCCAGTAATGAAGGTCCACGAGCACAAACACCTCGGTATTATACTTGATTCTAAACTATCATTCGCTAGTCACTTTCAATCAATTATTTCTAAATGTAAACAAGGCATAGGGATGTTGAGATTCCTTTCAAAGTATATGCCGCGATATACGCTCAACGAAATGTATAAACTCTATGTCCGTCCCCATCTGGATTATGGTGACGTAATATATCACATTCCACAAAATACTCATGATTGTAGCCAAACTGTTACATTGACCAATTCGATGGAAAAACTCGAGTCCATTCAATACTCTGCCGCATTAGCAATAAC